CTTGAAGCAATTCATTGGTATTTGACTTTTCTTCATCATGCTGGAAGTTGGAGACTTCCTGAGATTGTGACAAGTTTTCATTTCCAATGTATGAATTCCTTTCTTGTAGATGATTTTTTGTTGCTAGTCCCTAAAGGCAGTATCTTCCTAACATACCACATAAATAAATATGCTACACATAAATAAACAATATACTACTTGTAAAGCCACCATGCACAGAGACATTGCTATCACAGCTAAAACCTAAATGCTTACTTTCAAATCTCCAGCTGAATGCCTGAATCCACAAATGAAGTCTTCAGGAGATCTTTTTGCTAGTGATATTTGGATTATTCAAAGTATATACTTCAAGACCAGACACAGCCACTTATGAGTTTGCCCAACTGTTTTCAAAAATTCAGATTTCTACAGCATTGCAAATTATTTTGGAACCTCTTACGTAAAAGCATTCCTTCACCATAGTCAAAACCCCTTGTCTCAGTTTAGAGACAATTTTAGGAGAAAATGCTCTGGAATTAACATTTCCTCTAAAGGAAAGGGCTTCAGCAATCCATTCCTGCTGAGACAAAATGAATATTGGTCTGTGAAAAGTGAAAAAAAGCAACTGTTTATTTGACAAACCAAGTGCCTGCACAACACAGAAAAATAAATTAATAACTGTTAGATATTGAACCTTCAGAACTTTACCATACACACACACACAGAGCCACAGCAGAACAAAAAAAAAAAAAAAAGAACAAAAAAAAAAAAAAAAAAAATCCAGGGGAAGGGAAAAGCTGACGGCCACATGTTAGGGAAAAACAAAATGGCAGGCGGCTTTGTCTCAGGAGAGGAAGAAGGAGCCTACGCAGCTTGGGGAAGAAAAAAAAGCAGATGGGAACCTGGTGAACCTCTGATGTTTGTCTCCTYCTCACAGCAGACGAAGCTGGTGGATTTGGAGTCCTTTCTTTCATTGCTTTAGCTTTTCCCGAAGTATGGGGCTGGGCAGAGCCACTCCAGAGGCCTCCTGCAGGTCGCTGACCGTCTGTCAGGGATTGTCTGACCAAAAGCCAAACCTAACAATCCAAGAAAAAAACAGCAGAAGCCACCGAAGAATTGCTACTACACTGCAGGGAAAAAGCTAAGCTAACAAAAACCAAGCCTAGCTCAATGCAACAAGGTAATACCTTTCTGCTTTACAAGCCAAGCACATCAGAGAGGGAGAGCTCCAAGAAAGCCCTCCCCGAGCTCCCTCAGCTCCCACCCCTCCCCTGGACTCACTTTAAAGCTTCAGGACCCATTTCTAGACACAAAGCACACGATCAGGAATAGAGCATCATCATAAAATCACCCCGAAACACCCCTAAAACAGCTGCAATGAATAGTAAACAGTTTTGCACCCCCGTACTGGAATGAGGTCTTCAGCACACAACCGAAATTGGCCTAGTATGGTAGTGGTCAAAAGAAAGAGAGCAAGAGCCCATTAATCTATTTGATTAATTTTCAGAAATATCTTAAGGCGTCAATGTACTGAACTCCTATTATTTTTGTATTTGATTGGTTATAATCARCAAATATATTACACTGAACTGTGCTATATCTTGTTGATGTTTGCACTATTTCTCATCCACAGAGGCCAGATGGGAGGTTAAACAATGCAATATAAGAGATGAAACGCTGTGATGACTTGTTTATATATTTAGCTGACAAAACAAAAAATTTATGCTATTGTGGTCTATTTGCAGCTGCTTTCACTAAAGTTCAGAGAATTTGAATTGCTAAGCTACAGGAAGCTGAAAGTTGTGGTATTGCAGAAAGCTTGGTAACTGCTGCTTCACTCAGACACTTAATGTAATTCTAGTTCAGAAAACTATTTCCCAAAAATGCAATCACATTTTCTTTTTCAGAACACTGAATAATTTTCAAGTACATCACAAGCACTTCATTAAGAAAGGCAACATTGCAAGCATTCTTCAAATCTGCAAGCCAGACCATAGTTGTCTCTGAAACAGAAGCAACTTTTTTTACTTTCTCTAAGAAATCAAGATAGAAAAGGACAACTTCAATATATAAACACAGTTCCACACGAACCTTCCAGGCCACACTCACACATCTAACATCATAACTGCTAATCTCTGTTCTCTACTCATTTTTAATGACCTGAGGAATCAATCTATCGAATTCTGAATGTGACACATAAAAATCTGGACCATTCTACATAGATTAATTATGTACTTCCTTAAGGTTAGAGATGTCCAGCGAGCACTAACCTTGCCCTGCACATACAGTAACCCGTGCCCAGAACTTGTTGGAGCATTCTTGTTGGAGCTCTCCTTTTCGTGCTGACTGCTAYAACTATGCTTAACTTCCACTACATGCTGTTGAATCTTCAGTTGCTCTGCAACAGCAAATCTTAAGGTTCCCTCTRTCCTCCAGCCCTTCTGCAAATCTCCTGTTTTCATTACAATCTGGAGAGGGGTGGAATTTGTAAGATTTGTCCTTACGCTTGGATTCAGAGTAACACATCTGCTTGGGAGGGGAAATTTACTCCCATTTCACAACTTCTACCTCTCCTCTCTCTGTAAATAATGCAGATGGTCATGAAAGAGCTGTACTTACAGTAGGAAAAACCATCTAACTGACACCTTATACAGTTATAGGCCCTTTAACAGTACTACCCTATAGTATTGATACTACATACAATAGTCCTAATTCTTCCCTGCATTTATGTTACAATTATCAATAAAGAAGATTTCTTTGATACTCTTTTTCTTCCAGCCTGTATCATGTCTGGTAGAAAGCGGTGGACCAGTAACCCTAAAAAAATGCAGATACCATGTTCTCACAGCCAGTTACTGTTGTGGTACATAGCAAGAGAGACAAGAAATTTCAAGACTGCTGGCTTGCAACAGCTGTCTCCTTACTGATCCCATCTGTGTCTTCCTCAGGGAAATTACATATTTCAATAGTTCTTTTGAATTTGGCTTCGTTTTGATCTTCCTAAATTACAAATGAGACAGTCATTGTTTGTGGTCTAACCACACTCACTTTTTTTTTTCATTTTTCCCCATACCCTAAGCTTGATTTTCAGCATTAACTTGTGGGGCATCTCTCCTCCCCACCCCTCAGGTCACACTATGAGCTGAAAAATGTTTTTTAAATATCAGCCTTGAGCAGTGCCTGAATTGAGCTCTCTTGAGCTTACCAGAAACACTACACATTYCAAGTATAGTAAATTCTATATGAATCCTTTGTTAATTTGTTTAGCTTAAGCTGTCGATTAAGTGCTGTTAAGTGCTGTTAAAACTTTAGGCTTAAACTATTGGCCAAGACTGTGGCTCAGTTTAGCTGTGGCTCTGGACCTTGTTCCTAAATGGGAGAATCTTCYTTATTTCTTTTTATCCTTACCTTTTCCTACCCTTACTCTCTTCTTCCCCCTGCTTCCCCTCCAGCCTCCACACAGGTAGCTTTAGGGATGACTTTGACTGATTGCAGGTTTTAGTCTGATTTTTGTCTGTGTGCTTTAGCCATCTAGTAAGCAGTAGAGTGAACATTGCCAATGAACTTTTTCACCTTTTCACTTTTATATTAAACCTGCTTTTGCCAACACATTTTTCAGTGTTTCTGTAAGTGACATTAAAACACTCATTCATGGTATTTCTTCTGTCTAATTGCAGCAAAAATAGAAGCCACAGACATGGAGAAAGGGAAATAAAGTTTTATTAAGTGTAAAATTGAACCATCCCCAAAACATAAATCACTGAAATTACCCATTACCTCAAACCAACTATCATGTGAATACATTGACATATACATGATGAAACAAATCATCRTAACTACAGTCTATAAAACTAATATTCCCAGTTCCTTTTCTCTGTGGGCTGGTAAACAGAAAGCAGGGCCTTTCCAAGCCCTGATTGATGTTCAGTAATTCAGGATATAAGAGCAATAAGAACAACATMTGACGTTAGTATGAGTATGCAAATCCTCAACTTCCCTTGTCTCCCTTTACCACTGCATCATGGGCAGTGAGGATAATCTCTAGAGATTAGGTGACTGTGTCATGATATTTTTCCGTGCAAAATATTTCCGCTTTTACAGATGTTGAGTCATTCAATGTACRTCTGCTCTGATGGCATTCAAACAATTTTGGACTTAATGCCATTTAGTTTTCAACCTTCCTTATGTATAATCCTCTGTTACTCTGTAAAATCTCAGGGCATTCAAATTCTGTACAGTGTTCCAGGCTTTAGGGTACAGCTTCATGAGGTGTAGCATGTATATGCATTGTCTCTCCAAGCTGAGATGAGGGGGCATCCATGGCAAATTCAGTTTCAATTCATAGTAGCTGATTCTCATAGAGGGTAGGCTCAGTCCAGAGCTTTTAAYAAACCTTGTGCACTATCCATATTCACATTTGACCTTTAATTTGTTAGGCAATGCATTGACGACAATGTATGAAAAACTGCGTGGATGAGAAGAAAGTTTAATACCTCAGCTGAGTATTAGGAAAGTTACTAACTTTTCTGTAAGMTGCTTGGTCAAAAAATGGATGTGCCCAGTATGTCTGMTGGCATTTCTGTGCTGAYAGAGAATGTTTAAAATTATCTTGTCRYAGAAGGGAAGAYTCGGACCACTYAATATGAGTTATAAGCAAGCTTCRATTTATTGCAAACAATGTCTAAGTYTTATARCATACATAATTAGCTCAYACRTATTCTGTAATACATATATCTCATAGGTCCACRTCCTAAATGTCAACTCCACCTTTAATGATTCACTTGCCAATTTCCCTTATCTACTTCTACTTTTTCCCAGGGCTAACTAACACAAGTATCTTGTAGGGAGTTTCYAGCGGCTTAAAAACATGATGTCCTTGCATTGCTTTCTTATTGCTTCAGAAGAATTTTTCACACAATCTCAGCAATTATTCAAGCTGAGTGCGATACTTGTATTTTTCCATCTCGCTAAGCTGCAACATGTCTACRTGACCCTTCTCARCTAGCCAGCSTYCCACATTATCTGTGACTAGAAAYCACATTATCTGTGACTGCTGGCAGAGAAGAGCAGAATAYTGCCAAAGATTTGAGATTTGAAAATGTAAAGGCACAAATGTCTGCAGGGGAGAAATCCTCTTCAGTTAAAGCTTACACCAGAGAATGGCTTTTGCCTAAGTATCACATTTACACAGCTTTTTAGTTGTCTGACAGAAAGGAGACRTCTTAGAGCTGATCTGAAGATCACTACAGGTTTGTCTTATTCCTTTGTTCCTTTCCTGTTAACCTATCAACAGTGTTGTTTCCATTTTGGAAATCAATACTTATCCTATTCTTTTACCTAAACATCTGCCAGAAACTATGCGTGATTAAAGGATATTTGACAAACAACAACGTATTTCATTCTCATGAATCCTGAAACATTGTCTGGATACTCAGCACTCCAACAGCGTTTGCAAGTGCACTGAGAAGGTAAAGGAGCTCCTCCATTACCGCTGCATGAATTAAGTGTCATTGTAAAMGAGAAGCCTCCTCAGAACCAGTAGCAATGGGGTGCAAGACAATGACAAGAGTGGGCAGAGCCTTGATGCTCTCCTAGCAACCTGACAAAAGATCTTCCAAAATGGCTCTCGACTGACTTCTCCCCACTKGTACTAGGTGGAAATAGGGTTCTATTTTACCCAGGAATTTATGTCAGATCGGTATYTCCTGTTAGGCAGCTGATAATAAGGGAGGATTAGCATAGTTTTGAATGGCATTACTATGTTTGTTTTAAAAAATAATAGTAAGTGCATGAGTTCCAAAGGGTTAGGAGTACATATACACACCAAAGATCTCATTTTCACCTAAATCCCCTAAATGCCTTAGCTAAAGGCAGCTCAGGGTAACAGAATTAGAATCACAGAAYGCATCTGGTCCAATCTSCCTGCTCAGACAGGGTCATCCTAGAACACRTTGCACAGGATTGTGTTCAGTCTGTTCCAGAATATCTCCAGCRAGGGAGACTCYGCAATCTCTCTGGGTAATTGGTTCCAGTGTGGTACCAATGTCCATTATATCATCATTTCTATACCACCCACCTCTTCTCCCTGACAAAATGAGCATTTAATTTTTTCTCAGTGTAACAGGATGTAAACAGTCTTTAYCATTCCTCCAAATGACTCCAACTTTGCTTGTCTAGACCACCTACAAGTCAGTAGTAAGTACTGTTAAACCAACCAAAACTGCCCTACTCTTTCCCTTTTCCCTGTTTTCTCTTTTTTCTTTTCCTGTATGACACTGCCCAAAGCCTGCGTGCCAAACTCTTTAGGACAGGTCTGCATTCAATCAGGAAAATGCCAAAATACAAAACAAAGACCATTTAAATATTAATAAGAGATTGCAAGTACTGATTTTTTACTGAYGGGCCTCAAAAAGTGTCTGCAAGTAAATCTAGTATCATTCTACATTGCTGAAAAATGTGGAAAAAAATGTTTTTCATTGTGCTTCATGCCATGTGCTAAGTCCTAAGGAGAATAAGAGTTCTGCTCCTTGTGCAGATTACTGAGGAAACCTTCTCTGGGATAGGAATTAACAATTGGGGTCATCCTAGACACTGCAGTAACTTCTACATTCTTATCAGATCTTGGAGTTGGCAACCTAATCAATTATTTCCCAAAATATTARTTTATTTAGGTCTATTAGTCAGAAAAATGCACTGTTCTCCTCTACATCTTCTGGCTCCAGAATTGTTATATGACAGCATTGAAGTCACAGCCCTCAGTATATGGTTGAAGAGCTCCTGAGCCTAAATCAAGATTATTGAAGTGCTCTTTGGTCTTTATCTTGATAGGCTTTGCTGGCATCAGGTAACGAAGRTTCTTCCAGAATCTGGAATTCACAGGAAGAGATTTATCCTTTTTCCACTTCACCACTCTCTTTGATGGTAAAAGTGACAGTGATTCTGGCAAGAAATTGTAGTCACTTATAGGCATATATTCAATTAATATGATCTTAGTTTTTCTTTCAACCAGGGCTTTATGCAGTCCACTTTCAAGTTCRTATATGGCTCTGTCAGAAATGTAGTTCTGGCTCAGTATAATGATTAATCTTCGGCTTTTATCAATGAATGAATGGATATCATCAACAAGTGCTGCAAATTGAAGATAAAGGTGTTGTTAAATTAAATTGAAAGGTTAAGATGAATCAACTTATCCTCYAAATTCACATATGTACCAGTGATGTCCCTCTTATTAAGTGACAGCATGTAAGCATCCTGTCCTCATGGAGAGATTAATGTGTACTAAGGATTAGGAGTCTGTGAAAATGAACTCAGTTCAAAAACTTGTTCTCTAGAGCAGACATAAACTTTCATATGATCTCTATCTACCCTAGGCAGCTGTCTAGTAGTAGTCTCCTGGATAGAAGGTGACAGCAAATTTAAATTTCTCCCAACCAGATATTTATTTGCACCTTCCTAATAGGTACTGAAACAGCAACCTCTCCAAGCATTCCATAACCATCAGGTTACACCTTCCTTTATGACACTGAACACCCAAATCTATTTCCAGTGATCCAATGCTGAGAAGAACAGCACATGTGACAGAATAAGTTTCAGGTGTGTTTTATATTAATGACTTTTGGCATGAAAAGCGATGAATGAAAATGAGTGGTGCCACCCTTTAAACAACAAACTGAATTTTCATGTGCAGCTTCCAGTGCTTGTTTTAACCCCATGGGACAAAGTCTACATAAACCAGARATCTACAAAACATGACTTGTAGAGAAAGGCAAAGCAAACTGCAGAACTAACTTAATGAARAGAAAACTGAGGATAAAAGGAGGCTGACAATGGTATTTCACCACCAAAGGCAGTGGTAAAAAGGGGGAGCTACTCTATTTTCCATGTTCATAATGGACCAGAACAGAAAAAAGGAAATAAGCTAAACTGCTGAGAGATTCAGACTTTACATTTGGGCAAACTATTTTTAATACTTAAGAGAGTAAGTTAAAAAAAGGCTCAGGAGAACAGTAGCAYCTCTCAAATTAGAAAAATGTGTCAGGAATGGATACAAGGAGACAAGATCCTGCTAAATGGAGGAGGCTGWCTGATCTTATCAGTGGTTTGAACAATGAAGTCCTATCCCTCAACTGGATCTTTGGACTAAATAGAAACTCACAGTACCTTTTATTGAATCATCTGCAAAAGGCAGATGATTCTCATCAGTTCTCTCCACAAGCCAAACAAAATTCCATTTCTTATTTCTGTTTCGTTATGACACCCATTTCATTCAGAAAATGTTTTCAACTACCACACTGAAGATAAAGCAAACGTACAAGTTACCTAAAAATAACTAGCRCCAGAGACACCAGCTGCTCTGTGCAGTAAATGCGAGTTCATTCATCGAGCSTCAGCAAAGCAGAGCAGAAGGACCCTGTGAAATGTCTAACATCTTCTGTGTCCTCACATTAACTTTCTTGATGCTTGCTGTTTCATCTTTTTATCTTGATTCTTTGTGATAAGTGATATAKGTGTGCAYATGTGTGTGTGTGTGTGAATTCATAAATGTAACTGTAAAACATGTAAAATGTCTGCCAGCAAACTTTGCACACACATGGTCCAGATTAAATGAAAACTGTATCCTTTCAATGCATKATATGTGACAGAATTCCTTCTAATKATAGACTTTTATCTTTGTGTGAAAATGATGAGCCTATTTAATGACTGATAAGAATATTCAATACACTTACCTCCTCCAGGGAATACATCCCTCTCAAATATACATAACTTGTACCCAAAGTTTTCTTCTAATATCGTGGGCAATATCTTCAAAGCAAATTCTCTCTCTTCTTCAATGGGAGAAGCACAGTCTTTCAGGTAAGACACAAATGCATCATATTCTTTTCCATCTGAAAGGAAATCACCAATCATTGTCTTGTCAGCAACCATTCATTAGAAATCCAGCCTCTGATTCACCATTCTGGTTTTCAATCTTATTGTGTCAGTGGCAAAGCATCTAAGAAATTCCTGCATTTTCTTTTGATGTCCTGAACAGCCTTCAAACACTCTTCATCAGATTCAAAAAATGTTTTGWAGAAATTTAAGTTTGATACAAAAGATTCTGATTGCCTTTTGAAATACTTAAAATATTTCCTTTATAAAGTGCTTTTTAAATAAAATTAGATTAATTTAACCAATTAATGTAACATCTCTGAAGATCAAGGTAGGAAGAGAAGAAAAAATGTGTCTGCAACCTGATACAATTGCTATTTTAGTGATATTGCCAATTTCCACATTTATTTTACGCTTTGTCTAAGAGTATCAAGTGGAATGGGCACCAGCAAAAGAGAGAACAAACCAGTTAATTATTTTTCTGAGAGTATGCCATGTCTGGTCATGGTTTGGTCACTAATTACAAACACAAAATCAAAGACCAATCCAAAGGCYGGGCCCTCCACACTGCCACAGTGMAAYYATTGGGATTGATACACCTGTGCTCRTGTCTTTGCTTCTTAAACTTTCTGAATWCTTTACTGCATGTAGCTCATAGGAGAGAGCACAAAGTTAACCCCATGAAACCCTACACCTTCAAGAGCTCTAGGATCAGGAAATGCATTGCCCAGTATCCTTCAGGCAGTTCCTCCAGGGAGGCATAGTCCATGTTCCTCCCTATAAGAAAGGAGGTCCTCCCTCTAAGTCAGTGCACACTGTGATATCTGACATCAACAAATAGATAATAGATAGATAACACTGGCTGTCAAAAAGGACACCCACCAAAGAAGAGGCAGAAAATCAGGCCCATACAACAGCAAGTTTTTTCACCTCAACTTTCAGAAAAATAATTCCTAAAATTGAGTGATTGTCAGGCTTGCTTGTTGTGAAGGCTACAGAGCTGCTGCCTGGTAAGATACTGATAAGATGCACTCCTGCTGTCCTTGAGTTTGTGCAGTGACAAACCCATAAACATGCAATGACCTCTACAGGCAAGGAARCTTTTTAACCTTCACCTTTAACCTTACCTTGCAAGGCATCAGTGGGGTGAAAACACATTTCTGTCAGTCAGCCCATCTGATAACTCCAGAGTGTTCATCCTCTTCATGGATAGACAACTGCAAACCTCTCTACCCCATCAACTTTTGTGATGAAGAGTATGGCAGAACAGGGCTCACCTGAACAGCATCTAATCACATCCCTTCCACTGCCTGCTCCAGAGGCAACTTCTTCACCATGTTTACCTGCTCTCATTGCTGCAGGTGTATAACAAACACACTTTAGACCCTGACCATCAAGTTCTCTTTTACATATTCCCTATTTCTTCTCACACAGCTCCTGGATTTAAGATAATTTTTTCTCTTCCTCAAACATTATTGTTTTATAGAACCTGACAGAAATTATTTTTAATCAATACAGTTACTTTGATGTCAGCATTAGCAAAGTCATACCTCCAGCAGTATCATCTCTTCTGCATAAATGTCTGTAAAACAGAACTAAGTCGACCCTAAACATCACAAACACAAACACCACAGCTACCACAACAAATGGAAATAGCAGAGCAAGGACCATTCCAGTTGTAAATACATGCACAGGCAGGTCTCGGGCTTTCCCTGTAAAAGAGAAACGCAGCAAATTATGGCCTTGACGAAGAGTATCATATGACAAGATTAYTATGTCCAATACTGATGGCACCTAAAAATCACCCCAAAAAAATCACAGTGCTGATGGGAATCYCTTCCTGCTAATGCTTGAAGCACATATGCATAGCACTGATCCTCAGATAAAGAGAAACTACACAAGATGGATTACTCTAAGAGCTGGAGAAACAATATTGCACAGTCACATACAGTTCATTTGTGTGTGTGTGCAGGGTACGTAAGATCAAGRATGACACAAAATATCCTCATAGATGTACACCATCCCAAACTGATGGTCACTCACGTATTTGAAGAATTTCCTTCTTTATTATTTCCTYTTATTATCTACCTTTCATCCCTGTCTCAGTCCCATCTGTAAGTCCTTGATGTCCCCTTTAATCTCTTTGGTTGAGATATTTTTGTATTTTCTTTCTCCAGTCTCTTTCAGGCTTTTCTTTATTATAATTATTATTTATTATTATTATAATAATTATTTATTAATATCATGTTATCTTTGGGTTTTTTAGTTGAAAATACAGCTTTGTAACACTTTAATCTTTGTGAAGTTTTTATGAAGGCGCTGTCAAGATATGTCCATTGTAGTCTGTATTTCTTTTACTTTGCACACCTTCTTCCCCTGATGGGGAGCAGGAAGAATCACCCAGGGGGTTATCAAGTCCAGCACTAGGTGGGTGAGTGCCTTCATAAGCAGACAGATGTATTTGGAGAGGTGTTTTGAAGTGAGTACCCTGCCCTTAGGATTGAGAAGGCTGGCATGATCAATAATAAAATTGATTAATTAATAAAYCATTAATAATTTATTTCTAGATTATGCCATACCTTTCTTCAGTTTTACTATTTTTATCTGTGTGCTTTCATCAGCTTGCAACATGCAGGTGAAATTACTATGCATGTCCTCATCTCTTACATTTTTAATTCGTAGTAGCCTTGTGACGTAGAACTTGTTTCCCAACCTGCAACAAGGAATGGTGTTAGTAACACAGTCTGTACAGAAACTYACAACCACCTGAGAGGCAGATTTTGTGGAAAAGGCTCTAAAGAAAACCCTCAGACTGTGGTTTTACTGAATTTGCAGTTCCATAAAGTATAGGACATTATCATGTACAAAGSGCAGCATTTTAAGGAAACCTACGGTAAATCTTTTTCTTCTTCACATATTGAAGGTTCATTCTCAGGGATACCTGTGCATTTATCTGGAAAMTTTTGGTTAATTAACCAGTAGAGGCTGGCATCTTCTTGCCTATAGTAACCCAAGAAACCTGTGCAATTGAGTATTTCTTCTTTACCTGAAAAAACAGCATAACATGGGAAGATCCAGTCAGAAATAGTGCTCATGTACACAGTACAGTAAAATAYCAGCTTTCTAGGCAACAAATCCCATGAGCTGTGCTTCTTTCTGGATTTCAAGCCCCTGTTCAATGTTTACAGTGTTATACCTGCACTGGTGGTGGCTTCAGCAGTCAAGCATAGGGCTCTGTTGCACCCTGTTGCAGAGTGACAGTCATCCATTGYTTTCTTGCAGATAAATCATCACAGCCAGGTGAGTTTAAGTTGGCCAGAGAATGTCAGGCTTTAGAGAACTAAAGGGGATTGGATTTGAAGATCCTTACAGGTCCCTTCAACCTGAGATATTCTATGTCACTCATTACTGCTGTTCACTGAGTAAACCATGTACCTTTTGTACATTGCTTCATGGGGTGTGMTATCTAATAAAGCCATGGAGAGATGGTTTATCACCACCACCAATTTCCCTTGCAGGTTGTAAAAGCAACCTCGACTTCTGCCTCTGYGAAAGGCTACATTACTTGTATATCAGTCATGTAATAAACTAGGCAAAACATGACCAGGTGTGAGGTTRGATCAGATCAGGATGATGCACTTGATTACACTTATCCAGACCATCAACCAAAAATAGATCAGAACAAAAGCATATAGGTAGAGTAGCTACCAYGAAGATTTCTTTGTTAATTTCATACCTATTTCTGTTTCAATTTCTTCATGAAGTCCAACTATCTCCAAAGTTACAGCCTCTGGTGCATCTAAAATAGAAGCATTGCTGTTGAAGTAATACCTTACATTTTTCCACAGTAAAAGTTATATACTTGCCCTGTATCTAAAATTAATCACAAACATTCCATTTGATTCACAGAACAATATCTGGATTCTGGCCTTAGTGAGTAGTTAAAAAAATTCAGTATGGTTGTTGACCGTTTTTCACACACACACACACACACACACACATATATATATATAGAGAGAGAGAGAGAGTGTACAATTTGCAATGGTTAAAAAGGCTCTTGTGCAAAATTCTTAGTAAGTTTTTATGACTTATAGAGCAGCCATTCTGAAAAAAAAAAAAAAAAGTAACAATCAAGCCTGCGGGGAAAACATACTAAAAACATTTTCCAAAACTGGTAATATTTCATCTTAACTTCTGCTTTTTTACTTCTCAAATTATTGTGAAACAGTTACCATTACCATACTTGTTCCCCCAGTATATTTTTATCAAATGACTACAGCAATTAAAAATCTTATTAGTAAAGTAAACCAAAAATTACACTTCAAAATTTTAGAAAGCTTTCTTACCTTCTTCTACTATAAGCTTAATTGTGTTTGTGCTGGGGTATATCTTTCCTTCATGACTGATTAATATTTTACAGGTATATATCCCAGAGTGCTGTGCTGTTAAGGTTCTAAAATTTAGTTCCCTCTCTGTTTCATGTTCATAGCTCTTGCAGTCCTGCATCAATAAAACCAGGAAATACTATTCTGTAGCAAACATGCATTCAACACAAATTAAGACATTTTTACACAATTTATAYAAATTACACAAATTAAGAAAGTTTTTTGAAACAAAGCTTCACCTTTTCACTATCTCAATGACATGTGTCTGACTCAAAAGAGGTGAAGGCCCAGTTTTCACTCATGGTCACCTAAATGCAGTGTTTGGACATTTAATCCATTAGAAGCTGAGAACACTGCAACTGAGGAAAACATAACAACCTATGGYCCTGTCCATCAATGGTGCCATCCTCTCAGACCCCAAAAGACAAGAACAGGCTGTAGCTCATTCTTGCCAGGCTATTGCAGATGCCTGGGTTAAATCAGTCAAAATCCTTTCCTGAAACTGATTCATCTTGGAGTGAACAGCATCTGTTACTCTAACCAGGAGACCTGAGAGGAATAAGGAGCATTCCTCAAGGCAATGCATGGGGACAGGGGGGAAGGAGCCTGTTCAGGTTTCTTCATCCAATGGCAGCACCCAACAGTTAGAGATGCTCATACAACTATGCTCTGGCAAATGCTGGTAGAGAGAATACTGATGGCTTGCCAAAAATGAGCAGAACTRGATCTGTTACACACTTAAAAAGTGTTCAGAAACAGCAAAATTGAAAAGTTTGCAATTACTTTACAAGTACATGCCAACTGTAAAATAAAAATCTTGGCACCTTATTTAGCATCAGTACAATATCTGTATCAGCAAAGWAGCAGCTGGCTAAACCAGCTGCTGTCTAAATCAGCAAAGACAGGCACATCAAATCTTTTATCATTCCGAACTACTAGTGTAAAAATTTCTGAAATAGGTATATTTTTTTAACAWATCTGAGAGCARACAAAARCTTTGTTTTGGATATTTATCTAAARGTTTTTCCCTTAATCCCATGAGAAATTAAATGTTTGYAGATGCTTCTAAAAATTCATTTGCAATTAATTTTTCCTGCAATCAGATGTTTTGTTTCTATAGCCAATGATTTGAGTGACACTGTTTCAGTAATTACCTTGTACCATGTTAYGCTGTCATTTTCATAGACAGATAAATCATTGCATTTCAGTGAATGACCAGTTCCAGCACTTTTAATTTCTGTAGTTAAATGATTTCTGTTGAAACAGCTGCTTTTATTTCTTTCWAGTACATTCAGGGTCCACTTTTGAATTGTGAAATTTTGTTTTCCATTGCTAAGAAAAAAAGATAGCAAAGTCAGTTTTAGGAGCTTTTTAAATAATTCAGCTTAGTGAGTTACAAAATACAAATACATTCTCAAATGCATCTGTTMGGTAGAAAGTACATCTAGAGTGACCTAATTATTTTTATTCCTCTTGATACTTTCCCACTCCCAAATATGGGTTATGTCCTTTGACCAAACAGGTTAACTAACTAAATTCACTATCACAAAACATTTAAAAATACAGTTATGTCTATGGAATATGACACTATATGCTACATCAACCCGAACAAGGATGCAACAATCTGTGACATCATGCATAGTTAAATGAGAGAATCAAAGAATTTTGAACCTTGAATCAGCTAAAGATTTTGCAGGTTTAATTTCGTATGTGTTGCTAAGGTTAAAAGCCATAACTGACAAATATATTTTTAGGGTAAGAAATAAGATAGTCAACTCCAGCGTTGTTCACACAGCAACATGAATCAATTGTTTGATACTCTGCAGATAGTCAATGATATTTTGGAAATATTTCTAAACACCACTACTCTCATGAATTATAGCATGATTGATGGATTCAAGCATGTCTGCAAAACAAGGAATTTTGGAAAGGATGCAGCTCTTTGTCTTTGAGCCTGCACTGCTCAGAGATCTATTGTTGCTGATCACCCCAGGCTGACTGGAAGACTCGGGAACAATCACTTCTGCAGCAGAGTCATCACATCTCATGCAGTGTCTATGAATGATCACACAAATTTGCTCCAAAAATGCCTCTTTTGAATATCTAGGAGCTGATCATTGTCATTTAGATATCTTTTAAGTTCTATCCACATATTCCTTGAAAGAATTAGGTTGTAGCTGTTTTTTTACTGTTTGATATATCCAAATACATGACTACCAAAAGAAAGGAACCTGGAAGACTTTTGACTTRAATTTGGCAAAGTTAGAGCTTAAGAGAAAGCCATATGTTGCTGTCAGTTAGCGGGTGAGAATCTGTCAGTTAATGGGTGAGATTTCGCAATTAGTGCACAAAGCTCTCATTTGTTTACTGAATGAGCAGAGCCTGACAAAGCAAAAGCAGCAATCACAGATCACTTCCGTCCAATGTCACTCATATCTTCATAAATGTATCTGAATCTTTCTGCCTCCAAGAAAAGAAAAGTAAATTGTTCCCAGAACTGGCGTGAGCCAAGAATCGTTCCAATGAGAAAGGCCAAGGGGACAAAGCARTTGGAATGGAGAAGCATCCCTGGGWAGAAWATTGGCTCAAGCACCGTTCTTGAGTGCCTTTTGGGTGTACAAATTCAGAAGAACTAWTAGGACATCAGCTTTATGATGAATTTAGACTAAGCCCTGGGTTATTTCTTTTCCACTTTTTAAGYTCCCCAAACAAATATATTTACGTGTTCTGCTCACCCACTTTGCACTGCAGTGTTYTCTCAAGCTACACAGGTTCTCCTTGTTCTCCTTACTCTCTTGAGACATTCATTACTCATAATTGTAATTGACTCTTTAAACCAAAATCTAGTGGTTTGGTTTCTCAATCAGTTAACTATGCTGCTATAAACAGGAAAAGCTTTACCAAAACTTTTCCATCAGAGACGTGCTCGCATGGGTATTCACAGTGGGTGGAGTCCTCACCTATTCTCCAACATCATATTTACACATTTAATCAGAGCTGCTTATCACAGTCAGCAGTGAGACCACGGTAGTCTTTTGCAGTGTAGTTCATATGACCTATGTTATATGTTTGGTTTAGGACAAGATAACCTGTGGCCCAGAAACGCCTCTCTCTCCCTGACACTGAAGGTACCTAAGACAAGTTTAGGTGTAAACAYAAACATTAATTCCAATTAATTCTACTGAGTCTGTCTGTTTCTTTCAGCACCACTCTACTGAATACCAYTGGAGAGGCAATTACAGATCTAGCCAAGAAATGCGTATGATGTTACWCTCTAGATTCAGCAGATGGAAGAAAAGGGTCCATAAAGCCACATGTTCTCCCCAGCACTGTCACACAACAGAGTTTTTCTTCTGTGATCCTGTTTGGGTAAATCATTTGAAGTAGATCAAGCTATTCCACCTGATGAGCCAAAGCATGGCAAGGAGCAGGTCTCTGGGGAGGAAGGTATCAGAACCACACCTATGCAAACAAAGATGAATTTCTCTTACATARTTTCTAGCTGTCTGCCATTTCACATGGTTTTAAACATTTTTTTGTATTGTTTTAATTTCTAGTGTCTTAATTGTTGTATTTTTATCCTGGTTTTTACTTGCTGAGRTTCTTTAGTGATATTTTGTCAGGAACAAAACCATTTCAGGTTTAATAGATTTTCAATCTCCCCCTGARAAACCCTCCAAGAAGGAAAAACAAAATCTAGCTTGACTAAGTAGATGATACAAGGAAGTGAAAGCCCTTAGAGAATATAAACCAAGTTACTGGATATATAAGTGATTCTAAGTCCTCCCTTTGCTATTTCACTGCAGCACAACAAGCCAGTGTTGTGTCTGTRTTTAAATCTACTGCAGAAACTGTCACTCTGATTTCCAAATTGCAATAACAACTCTATATATATGTTCCCACTGCTGTCAGTGTTCTAAATGTATTGAAAAATTGAGCAATATTAGGATTTGAAAATTTGTCATATGTTTATCACGATTCTCTGTACTTCTGGGTTTTTTTCAGGAACCTGTAAGTTCCCTCAGTTTCAAGGTGACCAACACAAAGCAACCTGATGACCTGCTTTTTTTGTATTCTGTTTTTCTCTTTAACCACAGGATGCAGGTTAAAAAAAAAAAAAAAAAACCCTACAAATTACAGATCATTCCAAAGACCTGTGACACAGTTTTTTTCTGCTTACCTCTCTCACTACAAGTACATACAAAATTTTTATTTACATGAATGTTGCTGAAGATTAACACATTCAGGTTTAGAGGTGATGTCTATTTATTCCTGAATTCATATCCTAAGTCTAGTATACTAACAAACACATCAACGCATATGCACACTTCAGCTATCTACRTATGTCTCAGCAGGACACTTCTAGTTTAACTGTAAAATTTCTCATTCTTTTTTTAAATCAAAGAAAGTAGTTAATATACCATAAAAACATTGTTACATCACTTTATTCTGTTGCTTCTTGCACATTGTCAGTTGTAACACATCAGAAAAAAAACCCCTATATTTAATTAGTTAGAAAAATCTGTCAGCTTGTTGTCTTCTTTTCTTGAAAACTGCACTATATGTAATTGTCACATTCTTCACTGAAACTGCCTAAACAGTTATAAGTAGTCTAAAAATGATTTCTCATATAGCTTACAAATTAAATAGTTGAAAATTAAAAAGATAAAAATAAATTTAGCATATCTTCTTTCAAATGTAAAACTTTTAACCTACTCTAAATACTCTGAAATTAAACTAATTCCACTTTAATTGTCATTCTTATTAAATCTAAAACCAGTTCAGTAGTCCACAATAGCTCATTATTTTTCCCTAAAGATCCTACTAAAAGTCCTTAGTCTCTACAGAAAACATTTTTTGCCAAAATCTTCTGTATTTTCTGAAATGTTTTGAAACTGAAATTTGAAACTGAAATTTGAAACTCATTTAATATCCCTGCCAATACTGAGAACCATCATATAAACAAGGCCCAAGATCCCATTAAAATCCCATTAAAAAAATCTCCCTATGCTTAGTATTCCAGCAATGAGACCTGCGAAAAGTTCCCACAGGGGGATTGCAAGATTCTGACATCATTCTGATCCTAACAGAAAAATGAGTATTCATATGGGCCTAACAGAAAGAAATTTAGAAAGAAAAAAATACAGAAATACATTTCAGAGTAAGAAAATTTTTTCTTCAAAACAAAAACACTTTCTTTAAAAAAACTGATCTTTAAAATATAGCAGTTTAACATATTCCAGAAGTCAAAACAAAAAAAGCAGAAAGTCAAAGCTCTCTAATTCCAAGTGAATACTTTGATATAGTCAAAACTTTTTTTCTGAGTTTCTCTCTTAAGCAGATGAGTAAATCAAGACATTTCATAAAGGATTCTAACATTTTTCTGTTTTCCAACAATTACTTATTTTAACAAATTTCATCCTAATAGTTTTATTTAAGTTCTTTCCCTGTCATCTTCTTCTATTTGTAAGGCTCTTTCCTTAAGTTTTGAGGTTCACACTTTTTCATAATAATTTTATGGAATTCTTGTGATTTACTGCAGATTTACTGTCATTACTCCAAGTCCTTAAAGTAGTTGAAAAACCACAATGATCATAAATTAAGGCTGGCGTTATTGTAGTTTTCTTCTATTTTGTCCTGTATTTTAGACTCCTTATGACAGTCTCCTTCAGTAGCCTGGCAATTCAGGTATGCTCTCCACCRATCTTTTCCCATGGATCTTTCCCTGTGCCAAAATTAGTCACTCTGTATTTCGTGCCATGGATTAGGTGGCATTAAAGTGAGTTGTTAGATCTAATCACTTTTTTTTTTGTGAAGTGAACACAACAGATCAACACAACAAAACTGATGCATAACAAATTAGACAAACTACCATATTCATCRCCCCTAAAGAAAATTCTCACAAATTTAACGTAGATTAATATTTTTTTTCCTCAGGATTTACCCTACAATTAAAAATAATTTGCATTTCATATACCATGACTCAGTACTTTAAAAAATAGTATCAGTAAGGAGATAATAGCAATGATATGTGGCAAAATAAAAAAAAAAAAAAGAAGTTTTCAACTTCCAAGTTAGCTTTGAAGTCAACAATTAAAGTTTAGCTTAAAACAGTAAACTATCAAACTYGACTCTGCAATATTACTGGAAATGTGGGGAGCATTTTTCAGTAYCCACAGTCCCATATCCTTTACAAACCTGGCTAGAACCTTAGAACTATGACTTGGACAACAGCACAAATCATTACATGCAAGGTAATCTGCTTCAAATTAGTCATTGCTTCAACTGTGAATGCTGAATTATGGGTTTAGTGCAAGTTAGTCATAAGACTTTATGCAGCAAAACTTTGATTTAGTCCCATAGCCTTTCAAGGTGTTCCAGTGAAGATTGCAACCAAATGATGGAGGCCCTCACTTATTTCTCCTTTTACACCATGATGCTCCAAAGCAGTAAGAAATCAAATCCAATTATTTCATTTTTTTCTTTTAATGTCTCCATGCAGGCCAGCATTTGCACATAAACCAGAGTTCAGCTATGCTATGTTTAATCTTTACTCTACAGTTAGATTATTTGGCAGGCCTCATAGCATGAGATCCTCTCAACACAGCAAGCAAGAACAAGTCTGGGGAAGAAGACAAGAAAAGGTTTCATTTTTCTTGGCAGTGGATAGAAGGTTTGCCTGCCACTCATTTTGCTTAGGTAAATAATCACAAGTCAGCAAAAATGCTACCTGCCTCATCAAAAGGTTTACAGAACATTTAAAAGGTTGAAACTCCTTACAGATATTTGTAGCCTTTACAGGTCACATTGCTAGTGATTGTGAAATGAAAAGGGAAATGACAYACAGTTAATACAGTTCCCTGAACCCCTTTTATATGGATGCTATTAGCTATACAAAACAAGRCAAAGAAATTATCTTCATCACAGACGTGCACAGACAAAACATTCACCCATCATGTTGTGTACCCACCTGTGAGTGACAGAGTAATTCGCAGAGTCACTGAGTTCAACTGGCCAAAACTCCAGAAAATTCCTTTGTGAAACAATTCTGTGTGTTTCCTTTATCAGTTGCTGCTTTCCAGCACTTTCTTTGTACCAATTTATTATGTATCCTTCTTCCTGAAAATGTTCTTGCCTTGACTCAACATAACAAAGGAAAAAATATTCCCCTTCTAGAACATCAATGGAGGCACGAAGGGGGCACAGCTTCTCTTCAGAAAAGGGGGAAAAAGATACATTAAGGAGGCAATGACTTCTTTCGTGAGAAAAGTAYGTTAGCTTGACTTTAAAGTGATTTGCTGTGCTGCTGGTATTTTATAGACTTCTTTCAGCAAACTGGTCTGGCRGCATTTATTTATTTATTCCAGCAATACTTTCTGAAAAACACAGCTTTCCGTGCCTTTATTCTACCTTACCAAAGCAAAAACAGAAAGAAAAGGGGGCGGGGGGGAATAAAAAGACATTACCCTATCCCTATGATGCTTTTACATGAGTTCCACAGTGTCAAAATCAAATTGGCACAAAGGGGTTCACTCTAYGGTAAAGCAGCTGCCACAAGTTGAAGGGAAAAAGAGAAATTCTTCACATATGGTTTGATTTGACAAATATGTCTTAGATAAAAGCACAGATCCTTTAAATGAACATTTGCATTTCTTTATTTTCTTAATTAAAACTGAATMATTATGTAGATATATTTCTGAAAAACTTCAGATATCTTTGGAGAGTTGTCTTGTTATGAGACTATGTGTGTAAAATTTAGTCTTCAAGTCTGCCTTTCCAAACAAATTTCCCAAATTTACTTTTGTATAGAGAAGTCATAAAAAGTACAGAAAAGGAACCATGATCTAGCATTAAGAGTCGAAAATAAAATCAGCCTTCAGTCTCTCCTTCTCCTGAGGTTCTCAGAGACTATTGCTGTTTAGCAGCTATTGTGAGCGCACTCCTGAATGGCACAAAAAGAAGCAGACTCTTTCTCTTGCCTGCTGTGTCTCTTCATACAGTCATGGTCACATTAGAGCATCATCAGTTTCTCCAGGTACCATCTTTGCTTTTTAATTTAATATTTTTTGTGTTTTGGACCAAATTTTCCAAGTCTCAAGCTGGGCTGGAATTACCAAACCTTTAAGTTTTTGTTCTTGGCTGCAAAACACAAAACTTGTCCTACTCCATGCAACTGTCAAGAAGTTGGCACATATGTTATAGGTTCTCTTATTGAATTGAAGACTTTTACTTACCAGTGGCAGATTCCATGATAAACATTATAAAAAACATCATCAGAGTCATYTTCTTGAGTTACTTCTCACTTCTTCTCAAAAAAAAAAAATCAAACTGGATTCTTCTTGTTCTGTTCTGAAAGCCTAAGAAAAGTAGATTCACAGTTCATCACAAGTGCGGTGAAACAGATTCCTTTGAGCATGTGAGCAGTGTAACTATTGCCTGGTGCTGAAGAGGGCTTTCCAAATGGGAAATCACATATTTTTATCATAACAGCTAAATTTACAGACATCAGGTAATGTATCTTGATCTTTCTTTGTAATTTCATTTCAAATTCAGAACCCACTTCATTATTTCCTTCTTCCATTTTCTTATTTAATAGACACATTTTGCAGTTTTACAAAAGCACCCAAATCCCAAGCCAGAGACACCCCAGTAGAGGATAGGACAGTGGGGCTTGTTTTTCTCCACAAAGAGAATAAACTTTGCAAGACAGGATCTTGTAGAAAAAGTAGAAACTTCCCTTACCTTCAATGAGAGCAGCACAATCTTGTAGATTGGATATGTTGATGGCTAACTTTGAGCCTGTTGGAAAACATTTAAATTTGTAATTTTTCCTCACAATTTGGTCTGTGGAAGCAACAAGCACCAGCTGAGCATGTTAACATTTCCACTGATGGAGAGCACATGGAGCAGCCCATATTCAATGGCTTCATGTCTAATCAACTGTGATATCAAAGGCAAGTGGAAAACACCACTAAAAAAGACCAGCTTGGAGCATCTTGTGAGGTTCTTTAGAACAGCAGGTTAGCTGACAACCAAAGAGCTACTCCTGAGATTGTGCCTTAGTTTTGCTTACAAAACAGGCACGTTATATATATTATATATACAATCAGCTCAGTTCAACCCCTGAAGCCAAAACAACCCTGCTTAGTGTGGCCCAAACATGGATGGACAAACGAGACGTACACACATATGAGATGTATTTCAGAGATCTGCCAAAAGAAACCACATTAGCAATCAATTTCTTTGTTTTTATTAAGTAAAACTGTTGCAATTTGAGAAAGCACACACTTGCTGTTGTAAGATTGCCTGAGATTTACAGTCAGAAAGTTCCTGTGACTTAGAGTCTGGAAGCTACTGCATTTCCAGCAGTATTACAGAAGGACACCAAACTGCATAGCTGCTCTCCCTTTCTTACCTTTCTTCTCAATTCTTTACAAGTGTGCCATCATCCCATAAAATCCTGTAAGGAGATGAAGGAACTGTTTCACATCCCTTTTTTCAGACAGACTGGAAGGCAGAAGCAGATTTAGAAAGCTAAAATAAGCTGAATTCTGAGTACTACAACAAACAATTTCAGTTCCTTACTACACATGGAGATTCAAACTGCTACACTTCATAGGGAAAGAAGGGCCTCTCTCTTTAATTTGAGAATTTTAATTTGAGAATTTTAATTTGAGAATTTTAATTGAATTTTATTTTCCTTTTCTACCCTATCACATCTAGAAGAAATAAGCTGTTATAGACTGTAAGACGATGATCCACTGCATAGAGATAAAAAATTTATCACCAGGCTTTTAATTCTAAACCCTCTTTTTTTCTGGTGTCTCACATCAGCACACAGTGGAAGTTTGGTTGAGTGCAAACACTATAAGCAAAGCTACTTAGTAATCATCAAGTCTGGGATTCACAACTACTATCAAAAAGCAAAACACAGGACCTTAACCTTTCTCTCTCGTTGCTGTTGAACCTGATCAATTTGTCTGAAATTGTTCTACTGTAGGCTAAATGTGTTTACTATTAAGCCATATAGTTTGAGTACTCTTACAATGAAAATCTGGGGGGGAGGAAGGTGAAGAAAAGGAAAATGCTTTTAGTGAAAGTCAGCCAATACAAAGAGAATCCTTGAGAAACAGAATAAGGTTTTTAATTGTCAGAAAAAATAATGGAGAGCTATTTTAAAGTAAAAGTGAAGATTCTCTGCCTAATAAAGGAGTACAGAAAATACTAATGGGCAAAATGCTAAAGGCAAGAGAGGGAAATGACAGTTTCAATAAATTCATTAAATTTCCAGTTGTCTATAAGGCTCAAAATGACAATAGCTTAAAGAGTCTTTTTGAAATTTGATATGTTTCAAATCACTGTTGGAGTTTTAATAATAAAATACGGCTCTTAAAACTACTTGTACCACAGAAAAACTAATTAAAGCTTTATACATTCTGAAAGTTTAATTTCTGTAAAGTGTATTACCAGTATGTCATGAATCGCTACATTACCATTCTCCACTTTTGTAGAATCACCAGAAGATTCTGGAATTAAATGGGGCTGATGCATAGAAGTGATTGATCAAGTTTTGGACAAGCAACTCATTTTGATCAACACTTTTGGAAAACTCAATTTGGTCCTGAAGTGTTAGGACTTCCTTTAAAAAAAAAAAAAAAAAAAAAACAAAACAGATTCTTCTGAGCATGAGACTGTTCTAGTAATCATTTTGGGATCAAGGGAGAAAAGCACTAAACCTTGCTTTTTAAGAATGGCTTCTTGTGGGATGTAAGTATTTTTAAAATATTACCACACAGTGCCATATTGTGCAGCATTCATGAAGAATACAAAAATAATTAGCAAACGGTTGTCTTAAACATACTAAAACCAAGCACCATTCTACCAGGACTGCAATTTCTTGGTAAAAATAAAAATCTGTCTTAATTTCAAACAACATAAGTAAAGTTGTTTACTTACTATGCAAGTCTTGACAGTGGAAAGCAGAGAGGGTGTCTTCCAAACTCCAGAGAGTTGAAACTTGTACTTGTACTTGTACAACTCTTCTGAATCTCATTCATCACCGAAACAGAGAGTAGTCAGTAAGTGAATCGATATATAGATAGTTCAGTTTGAAAAACCTTCTGAAAAAGGAAGAGAGACTTGCTGGTTGCAGGAAGAAAAACCGAAAAGGGAGATGTGAGAAATTCATTTCTGCTAGCATTAATGGAAAGGCAATAGGAAGTCCTTCATTTTTTTTTTTTTTTTTTTTCGAAATGAGGCGTTTGAGAGCTGATACACAAATGTTTTACGCGTAAAGTTTTGCTCCTACCGCCCACAACAGTGCTGAAGGAGCCCATCCTCCTCCAAATCACCCAGGTGCGAGGGAAAGGGCTGAGGACAGCCCAAAGACGGCGACAGGGGCTGTGTGTGAAAATAAGTATTTTTCAGGTCTAAAGCGTTTATGACAGCTCYGTAACAAGGAAAAATTATGTCACGGGACCTGGAGAGAGGTGTCCGAACCAAGTGGCTCGGAGGAGCGCGGCGCAGCGCTGCGGACGGGGGCGAGCGGCGGGGTGGGAGAGAGGCGGGGATGGGGACGGGCTGGGTTGGGGACGGGCTGGGTTTGGGGACGGGCTGGGTTTGGGGACCGGCAGGAGAAGTCCCCGGCCAGCGAGAGCCGCACACCCGCAGAGATGCCCTGACCGGGGCAGGCACTCGGCTCCTCCGAGGGCGGGGAGAAGAAGCTGCCCACGCCCAGCCCTCGCTTTCCCCAGCCCGCCTGCTCTCCACCGCCCTCCCCGGCCTCCCCTGCCTCCCCTGCCTCCCCTGCCTCCCCTGCCTCCCCTGCCCCGGTCCTACCCGGCTCCATGGCTGCAGGAAAGCAGCGGCTCCTGGCGCTGCCCGGCTCGGCGAGGGCGCTGCGCTGCCCCGGGGAAACCCGGAGGAGTGCCCCACGAGCAGAGGGAGCGATGATCAACTTTTTTAGGAGACGGGGCGGGGGTGAGGTGGGTGTGAGAGTGTGTGTGTGTGTGTGTCTTCCCTCTCACAACCTTCCAGGKGAAGGAAAGGTGTGAGCCGGTGGTGTCTGCCGTTGTTTTCAGCCAAACGCGTCTCGCTCCGCTTTGCCGCTGAACGCCCGTGGTGGGACTTTCCCAAGAAATGTGGTGGAGGCAGGATGGAGTGCTRGGAACGACTGTACTGGGCTGGCTATACCAACTTCTGTCTCTGCTGAAGCTTYCCCCCACCTCGCTGCCTGGCTTGAGAATGAGGACGCGCAAAGAGCTAAAAGTGAAAGGCAGATATTCTGCGGAGTCCTCAAAAGACAGACAAACAGACAAAAAATAGTAACACCCACCAAAAACAGACCATACTCTTCAGGAAAAGGCACCAGGCAAACAATCTGATTCTACAATATTTTAATGAGAAATGTCCCCATCTGAGTGCTCTTTTTTTTCTGTGCTACCATCCCCTTTAGGGGAACAATAATGAAAACTTTCAAGACAAGAAACTTCAGTGCAAAGAGAGAGTATGTATTCCATTCTAAATAAGTTGTCATGCCATTAACTGAGCTGGATTTTTAGCCAAATGTTGATATATTAGAACTGCGGTGKCACCGGGGTTTCTGACAGCCATATTTCCTGTTTGCATCCTGTTCCTGAGTAAATTMATTCATTACATTGTTAATTACACGAATGGTTTATCTGCTACGTACAGTGCAATGACTCACTATACTTCCAAAGAAGCTTAGTTTGGTAACAGCAGGAAAAAGTTATTCCCGCAGGAATTCTGTTCTTTGCATATCACCCTTTTCATCTTCAGAAATTAGTTTGGTGACAGCTACCTTTTGGGTTTTTTTATCCAGGACAACTGCTAATGCAAAAGTTCCCAACTGCAACAGGAGGGGTCACTTTAGAAGTAAAACAAGGAAGTTACACTAAAAAGAAGGGAAGGATTACACAGAACTGGCTTTCTTGCATATTCTYCCTGCTGAGGTGAAGCAAAGAAACCCTGGGCTGTTTTACTGTCTCATGTCATTTGTTTTACTCATCACAGATTGAAACAAGTTTTCTGTAACAACCATCAGACCTTTGGATAATGCAAATCAGCACAGTTCCAGGAAAGTAAGCTAAGAACCTGACTGTAACTAGTTTAAAAATGTGTTCAAGATACTTTGCAGTACTTTTATGACTTAGTAACTGATTAAAAAAAAAACCTAAAGAAAGCAGATATCATAAAGATGGTAATTATTTTATATGACAGTCCAGAAACTATTTAGCAATCAGCACATAAAATGGTAAAGTAAAATGTCATCAGCTTTTTACTTTCACAGACTAAGTCTTCATGCTGAGAGTTTGGAAACTTCTTTTTTTGACTCACTCTTTTACAGCAATATTTTCCATGAGCTTTTCTTACTTGTATTTGCTTTCATATTCTTTTGAAATACTCTCAAGTTTTTGAACTTTATTCTGCATTGCAGAAAGTTCTGTGTTCAATTGGTCCTTTCAACTAATGTCACAGTTCTGTGATTTGCGAATGTATGTGAAAGGAGAATAAACTTCACACTTTTTAGTTCTCAGACAAATATAATTTYAATGAAGAAGTCATAGTCTGGTAATAGATATGTAACTCAACTAAAAAGAGCTACAGCTTAGATTTTCATTTTGAAAATGTTACTATGAAAATGAAAGTTTGCACTAATATTGGAAAACAGATTTATGAATGGAGATCTGACAACCTGACTAATCAGTTAAGGAAGACCAGTTAWTTCACACAGTTTTTCACATCTTCCTTTCCATCCAACATTAACAGAGGTGTTAACTGAAAAACCAAAATTATTTCCGTCATAAAYTGAAACATAACCAACTCCTGTAACCACAGTCTAAACCTGTTTGCTGTTAGCYGGCAATAGTCCTTCTTAAAATACTTCTGTTATCTCTATAGAAAAGTTTTATTAATTCTCAGCAGAGGTGAAGTTACATTCAATAGTTTTTCAGCATTATCTTCCCCTGACGTCAAAAAAGTAGGTCACAAACTGATAATGTGTCAGTTAGAGCCTCATATGTTTCTCAGAAATTTTAAAATACTCAAGTTTGACACTTTAAAATCTTCCACCATACCACAGCATCACAGGATAATTCAGGTTTGAGGGGACCTTTGGGGTGCTCAGGTCCAGCCCCTCCTCTGGGCACATACAACTGAGACAGGAACACTTAAAGGATGGGRATTCCACAGCTTCTCTGGGCACATCTTTCAGCTTTGAACCATGCATATGTTAACTTTTTTTCCTAATATGTAATATAAATTTCCTATGTTCTAGCTAGTGGCAGTCACATTTTTGTCCCATCTCTGTGCTCCTTTGAGAAGAGCCTGGCTCCATCCATTGTCTCTGTCTTTTTCATTCTCTCTGTAGATAGAATCCAGGTCTCTTGTTTTCTTGTTTTTGTGATTCGTGCTCTTGGTAGTGTTTTCTGGATTTCAATATGTCAGGACCTCACTTGTACTGAGGAGCTCAAAACTTGACTTATTGCTCCAGAGGTGATCTCACAAATGGTGCATCCAGGGGAATAATCCCTTTCCATAGCTACATTCACATTATTAGGGTGCGGGGTGCAGTTGGTCTCCTCTGACAGGAGTACACTCTGCTGAGCCCTCTTCACTTTAGTGTCAACCAGGAAATCCAGACTATTCTGCAAAGCTATTTTGTGTTGGGTTGACCTCCAGGCTGCATTGCTGAATGGGTTTATTCCTTCTCAGATGCAGCACTTTGCACAAGCCTTGGGTTGAACCTTGTGGGTTTCCCACAAGTCCATCAGACTGTTGCTGTCCAAAACAGCATCCCTGTGCTCCAGCGGGTCACCTATCCCTCCCCAGTTTGATTTTCTGTCKGAAAACTCATTGTTTGTGCAGACTGTCCCATTGTCAAGGTGATCATTAAGGATCTGAGCAGTCTGACACCAATATCAGTTCCTGAGGACTCCTTCTGGTGATTTGCTGTGAGTTGAGGTTTGTGTGTTGCTCACAACGTGTTGGTCCCACAGAGACCTTGGTCCTGCTGTTTTTCCACTCACTTTCATGGACTTGTCTAATCTAATAGAGGACCTTGTTCAGTACAAGACATGCACCATCCAGTGTTCTCCCACTGTTCAAAACACGGATACACATGATATGTGTCTGAAACCACAGCTGTGGTTTTTCACCCCTTGCAAGAGTCAGGAACATAGAGTTGTACATTCAGTTGGATATACTATCAGTTTTACAAAAGATCTTCCAAACAGGCTTTGTCCAATGCTGTAAGAAACTAATATTGCRTATACTACARATAAGAGCTTGCTACAAAAACTTCYRAAAACTTCTAAAAAYTTCCTTTAMGTGGTCYGTCTCTTGGGCTTCACAACCATGTGAGCTATAGGAACATCAGCTCTCAACTCTAAAGGATTTCTAGCTGGTCAGAATCTCTGAGTTCACCCACGAGAGGGCGGGATGACTCCACTAAGAAGTGAAAGCAAATTTGCTCTCCAGAGTCCCTTGAGGTGCCAAAACCAGAGTGACACAGGCAGGACAGAAATTAAAGAACATTAAATTTCTGTATGGACAATAYAATTCAGCAACAAAATTGCCTTGATGCTGTGTAGTTTAAGCTTAAAGAATCCAAACTGAATCTTCTGTAAGCTTTCTATGTTTATTTGTACATTATTATCTCTGTATTTATTTATTTCTGTGTTGAAATAAGACCTTTTTTTTGCACAAGGCAGACTGTCATTCTACTGTTCCACAAAGGTAGACTGCTTAGTGTGAAAATAGACAGTTTTAATCCAGAAATATTTTTTTAAATCTAGATTCTTTTTATGTTGCGTATCATAGCATGATTGAGGATGGAAGGCACCTCTGGAAGTTATCTAGTCAAACCCTCTGCTCAAGATTGCCTGGAATCAAGCCCTGGCAGTTTTTAGCTTCAAAATTCACCACAGAATTCCCATTTCTAATATACTTGCTTATMATCCTTTCTTGTTCATTACATGCCTAGGACYCAAACCATATTAAAAACTTATCCTGTGATAATCTTGGAAGTGAATATTCTTTCTTGCTCAGAAGCTTATGTGAAAAACTTCATTGTTTATAGCAMCAGGCTTTCCTGCTTTTACTATGCYTTAGTGTTAATATTSTCTCTGTAGGMAGAAATTATAGGAATAAATCAAAYCTCACACAGGCATGAATCCWTTTTGTGGGGTCTTCACAGAGRCAGTGAGGTCTRTCCAGAGGAATCTTTAGGAGCAGGACCCAACACTGCAAACAATCTAATGAGRCAATAACATTAGATATTCTATAATTGTGGTGAGGTGAGCAATGAGTGAACACTTGAAAATACAACTCATTAGTGAAAAACTGTCTAGTTTGCCATAGATGTTTTAATTGAATGCTGAAAAGTACCTGTGCATATATTTTATGCACATTTTTTCTACTCCAAATAGCTATCCATAAGTCTGAAGATCCATATTCAATATAAACTTATAGTAAAGGGAAAGAACTTCCTGTTCGGTAATCCCAGACTTGGTAATAATAAGTGCTCTGCAYCTAATTTTCACATTTTAAGTCCATTCTGTAACAAGTCTAAAGCTGAAAACYAAGCCTTCTCTGATAGCAAAAATTTCCTGGATTTGAAAAGCTAAAAAATTTAAAGTTTGCAGGGATATCTGTACTAGAACTTATTTTATTTATTCATGCTCCCCCAAACTAGGAGGAGATTTGGCTCTGACCTTTGCATCTAAGGTTATTTCCTATCAGAACAAAATGAAACTATACATGAGACCAAATCATGGAAAAAAAAAAAAAGGTGGATATTTCTGGTTAAAAAAAGCGGGATTTTTTCAGTAGCTTCAAGGAATGTTATCAAAAGAACATCCCGCATTTTAATATGTTAGTTCTATCTGGAGATAATAATTACAGTAACAGCAGTAAACTTTGTGTGAGATTCATTTTAATAGATACATAAAATACTTTAAAACGCATATAAAATACCTAAAAATACCTCAGTGCATTTTTTCCTTAATAATGTATATGAAATACATATATCAGTGCATTTATTTCACCTAACACTGCATTTTTTCAATGCTGTATTCATGTCAGTGTCAAAAGCGCCTTTAGTGAGGCATCCACATTAAGGAAAAATAGAGTTTCATTTTATGAGTATCCCCATTAAATAAAAAAAAAAGTGTCAGGAAAAAAAGTTAACAAAAGCATAACATTATACTTTCTAGTTGCAAAATACACATTATATTTTCTAGTCAAATTATACAAAAGGCATTTCTATTTTATCAGCTGCATTAGAAAGGTGAAGTAAACCTGCAAGGCATTCAGATATTCACAATCATAACTTTCTTTTATACAGACAACTATATATAGAAAGAGTATAGGTATATTTAGTTTCCTGTGACATGCAGAATTCTCCACACCATTTGGAATTATTTTTTTACAGAACTCTCATACCTGTAAAATCTTCCCTCATTTTTCTAGACCTCTTCCATCAAATTACCTTATTATTACTCAATTGAAGGACAGAAAAACATTCAAAAAACCCAGCCAGACTTCCAGACTGCACAATCATGTATCTTCTGAAAGGAAAATGAGTTGTGGGCTTGTAGTAGTTCCTGATAGTGCTGAAGTTTTCCTGGACTGTTYACCTGGTGTTGGCCGAGCACGAGGACCTGCGTGTCAGTGGCATTTGGCACCTCACCTGTTTCCAGAACCTAGAATTGGGTGACTGGGGGTGCACTGTGTGCTCCTCTTTCCATTTGATTGTACCTTGCTGCTTAATAATAAACTGAAGAGATTCCTGAAGATTTCCRTAAGCCCCAATTGTCTCCATTTCCAGAAGGATCACCTTTGGGCCRTTTTGAATGAGGGCATCATATAAAGCAATGTGCTGATCATAAGCATCTTCCTTAGAATGGATCAGCTGCTGTGTCAGCAGGATGATCAGCCGCCTGCTCTTCTGCATTCTCTTCTCGACTGCACTGGCTGCATCTAGCAATGCACAAGAAAATTATGAGGCCCTGATAGTTCTTTTTAAATTCTTTTGGGATTGGACACTTCATTTTCATTGCTTTGTAACCAGAAATAACATATATCTCACTTCAGTCTGGTACAGTTTATTTACTAGAAAAAAAAGCTTTACCCACTAGGCCCCCCAAAAAGAAAAAGAAAACAACAACTAACCAAAGGGGAGTGGAGAGGAGAGAAAAGCAAAAAGCCCAAAACATAAAGMTTTCATTTCAAATGTTTTCTGTGGTCGAAACATTAATATTTTCACTGCTTGTAAGAATTGTTAGGAATCTCCAGTCCAATTACCTAGGTCTAGTTTAGCAGATCTGAGTCTCTCAAACTTGATCAACAGTTTCCATGTAAAGAATCATGTTGTACCAAGTTTAATGCCTTAGAGATGAACTTGCAATACTTACCCCTGAAAACTAGACTTTTGGGTGACTTGCTTTTAAKAGGCTAATTTGCTGATGGGGTAACAGTTAATTACAGTTAATTGTCCTGAGTTATCCTGTGCTAATTTGTATGCTAATCTGTGCATTGGGTTGGCCTCCACCCTGCAGGGGTAGATGCACACTTGGAGGGTGTTTATGTTTGAATTTCCCACTGCCGTGTTAGGGAGAGCTGATCAGTGCCACTGTCACTGCAATGTTGGAGGTGTTGAACATGGGAAGCTCAAGAACCAGAGTGCTGTGGAAGAAACTCCCGGGCCAGCTTGGAAAGCTCACATCAAGATCTGGCAGCTGCTTCTCTCCATCACCTGTTGGGACATCTATGGGAGGTAGGCTGCAGATGAATGCCTGTCCAGTGAAACACTCATCCCAGTTATCAGAAGTTCTGCTGGTCTGCAGAACAAAAGCTGGAGTTGTTTTGGTGAGGACATGTGATGCTGGGCCAAAAGAAATGMGGTGGGAACCCAGCAGAGGAAATTCAATGCAACAGTTACTTAAATCAGCTGATTCACAGATGCATCAGCCAGCTCCATATGTACCCTCTTTTCCTTTGCTGGGGGCTGCCAGACCACTACAAGTGGTGTCAGTTTTTGCCATAGACAGTTTTGTGAGCTTCTGTTAGCTCCTTGTGCTGGATCTGGGAATGGTCTGGCTCAACAGCTTTTGCAGCTTTTCTTTATATTCATTTTTCCAAGACCAGGCAGCTTTTTCACAGCTTTTTAGAAGAGTAGGACATCAAAGATCTCAGCCTCTGCTCAGGGCAGATGAATGACACCTGGCCCAATGAGGATGATTTGAGAAATGTRTAACAGAAAGTGCACCAGCTTAGGCTTCACAGCTGCTGACTGACAGAGRTCTGGTCTACAGAACAACCAGAGCRCAAGATAAACAGACAAATCAGCTCTGGGGTAAAGCAGATAGCACCTAGATGACAGCAGCCATATGAGATAGTGAAGATGGTGTCTACATAGAAATTAGCACAGATTAATTAATGTGATTTCATCCTGGAAGGCAAGAAAGCAGGAATAAAGCGTACAGATTCTCTCTTGAAGTTGTGCTGGGAATTGTGCAAAGCGAAAATAGATCATGTCTGTGAAAAGAAGCTGGACTTCCTGTGACTCTAAAACCCTCATAAAAGGTTGAAAACTCATGAGTGATAACAGCAAAGGTATTTCCTCAACTCAGTTTGTGGGTTTCCCCTCTGCCTTGACTTGCTGACATGAAGCCAACTCACACGGTTTGGTTGTGGCTTTGCCCAGATAATGGCTGTGCAGTGTTGGACATTCCAAAGAGCAAGTGTGTGTTAAAAAAAGTCACACTCGGGGTCATATTTCCTGCACATTCCAAGATGATAAGAAGTCTGTGCCCCTTCCTCGTAGCTTGCTTTTCCTGGCAAGCACAGAGTKCCCTTGTGTCACCTGGCCTGAAAGAGCTGCTGAGGAGACAAGTCTCAGCAAAACGAATGTAAAGTGACCTCCTATACACATAAAAAGTACTAGAATCACAATTTGTTCCAGCTTGACAAGTCATTCAGTGCACTATCAGATCTGAAACTTACCTTCTCCAGGATATATATCTCTCCCATAAATACACAATTTATATCCACATTTATTTTCTAGAATTTCTGGCATGATTTGGTAAACGAAATATTCCACAAAGTTAGCTTCATTGGCATGGTTTTTGGGGTAGATAACATATGCATCATATATCTTCCCATCTGTAAGGCAAAACAAGAGGAAGGGGTATTGTGCAAACATGAATTAGAGCTGTCTGTGGCAAAGAGTAGGAGAGTAATCAAAATATCRGTCATTGAAATAGATCTAAGAAGTAGTTCTTACTAATCTGAATAGTGTAAATAATCTGATGCATATTTGGTGCTTTCCATGCTCAATTTTTTTGTCCTGTTTGTAGCTTTGGAGAACCTGACCTTTGTATTATGAAGGCTGTATCCCAAAGTATATGGGGTAAGATTTCAATCGGTCAATGCAKTTTAGCATGATAGCAAGATAAAACTCAGAATTTGTTATTTCAGTGATACAACAGKCTGTTAACAGGCTTTGTCTCTGAGGACAAGATATCCAATTTAAATTCTTCCCTCCTGAAGAAATTATTCATCATTCCCACAACATATCATACTCCTAAGTGAAGAAACTTAGGGAAATAGTCTTATAGTCAGAACAAAGTACAAAGCCGAATATTTATTTCATTCTTTGCTTCATTTCTCTCAATTTAGTTTTCTGTTACAGCAATTATTCTAATTGCAAATGCTTAATTTCCAGAGGAGATGGCCRTAACTTTTATTTTACTGCTGAGGTTCTTGCTCAAACTAACAATAGATCCTATGAGGAGCAGCTCACAGGATGGGATTATCTAGGCTGGAGAAGAGGAGGCTCAGGGTTGACTTTATTGCTCTYCACAACGACCTGAAAAGAAGCTGGAGCCAGGTGAGGATCAGCCTCTTCGCCTCAGGGAAGCAGCAAGAGGACAAGAGCACATAGGGCTAAACTATACCAGGGGAGGTTTAGGYYRGACATGAATAAAAYTTTTCATAGGAAAGATGATTAGACATTGGAACTGGCTGCCCAAAAAGGCAAAGTCWCTGTCCCTGGAGGTGTTTAAAGAAAGACTGTACATGGCCCTCAGTGCCYTAATCTACCTGACATGGTGGTGTTCAGTCATAGATTGGATTCAATTATCTCAGAGGTCCTCACTGATTCTGTAAATCTGTCATTTTGTGATCCTATAATAATAATGAAATGTCCATTTCCAGAGTCTGATTTACTTAATCGTAAAACATACTTAAATGGATACTGCCCTAAAAAGCATACTTCTTTCCTCTTTAAAGAGAATGCAAGTAACTAGAGCAGCTGTAGATATCTACCACACAGACATCTGTGGTAGGAGTCAGCTTCAGATGTAAAAATTGCCCATTTAGGTGTGTGCATGAAGGCCAGGTGTCTAAACGCCTGCTACAAGTAGTGGAGAGCTGGCCATTGCAGTCAGTGAATTCCAGGGTAATGCAGATTACTCTCCTGCAAATGTCACRGGCCCAGCTGAGTTGCCTAAACACAGACACCTGGTGAARCTTCCTATCATGTCCTGCCTGYTCTCCAGATSCTGCTCCAAAAKYCTACAAYAYCCATCTCTGTCATSTGTYCAGTTTTTTGRCCATCCCAAAGGATTCTAGATCCCTGTGTCTGGATCACAGCTGCAAGATCCCAGTGCTTGGTTAGTTTTTATTGTTAAGGGACCGGATTTGGTCTCTTTGAAACGTATGCTTCATCACATCATCAGGCACTGCCTGCCCTTCAGATGCCACTGCAGAGGGGTTCAGGTCTCACTCAAGTCCTCAGGGAGCACCAAGTCACCAAGTACATATTGAATTGGTAAATAAGCTGAATTCATCTCCTGGTCTCCAGGTTTCAAGTCCAAGGTGGAAACTTGCCTGYGTGCACTTTCATTTTGTGTGGCTAAATGTAGATGTCTGAATCTTGAGCTGAAATCCACTAATACAGTTAGATGGGATGTATTCCTCCAGAAATGCCTTCCACACTATTGATATCTTTCAGGCCTATAAAAACTGTATTGCTCTAACATACGCCTTTAATTTTTTAGCCATAAGGTTTGTTCCTTTGCTTTAGAGAGCACATAATAATTACAATCAATAGCACTACAAAGCAGATTTTCAAAGTCATTCAGTATTTTATGGTAAATACTTTCATTAAAAACACTACAAAACCAGGACTGTATCCCTCTTTTATGTAATTCAGTGCTACAGAACACAGGGAATAARGGAATGTAAAGCACTTCCAGGGCTATGTATGACTTCTCTTTACTAAAGGCATGAGAAAGAGAAGAATCAGGTTCAGGTGTCATATGAGTTAGCAAGCAAATAGCAAATAAATCACTTTCTCTATGATTTGTCACTTTYCTTTTTTTAAACTTTCTTTCTCAAATCTTACTTACCATCCTTGAGTGAGTAGGGCTGGAATATTTCCCGGTACAAYAGGACAATATCAGCTCGGAAAGACTGGTACAGTAAAACTGAGATTGCTATGGTGCCTAGCAGAACCAGAGATCCTGCGATCAACAGGACATTAGGAAGAGCCGCTGCAAAGTAGAGGAATATGTTGTTAGCCACAGAGAAGTTAACCCATGTGCTGGAGCTTTACCCTCATATTGTCACTTCTGCTGCAGCATTCAGGAGCTCAAAACGGTACTGACAAAGCTTTTTCCTTTCCCAGCTGGGTTACACTACACACAGAAATTCCCCTAAATTAGAAGCACATGAAGTGGTATTTAACTGATATTCACTTTGTTGAATCCAGACCTACTTATACTAAAAACCGCAGCTGACAATGTTGTTTAAGTATTTTGTAATTTTTTAAAACTGGTAATAACATGACCATTTTGTAAAACATGTAAGCCTACACATGAAAATCATGGATGTCCACAAAAGGACAAGTGGAGGCTTCTGGCATGATTGCACCAACAGGGTACAAAGAAGCATGTAATGCTTCTTTAAGTAATGAAAGTAATGAAATAATGAAAGTAATGAAGTAATGAAATCTGCAAGATAAGAACTAAGTATGCTAGACAAGCAGGAAAACAGAACATGTCCCRGTCACAAAAATAAAATAAACTATGCTGAAATCAGATGATATTCTGTCCTGCCTTTTCCTTTCAAGAGGGTCAAGGAGCATAAAATAGCAATGATGAGTAAGAAAAATTGGGAAAGAAAGGAGCCAACCACTTTAGTTGCAGTTTCCGTCATGGTAGCTCTAGAATCTGACMACCTTTACCTCAGAGATGAAGACTTATCAAGGATAGATACAGGCTAGATAAATGGAACACATTTTTTTACATTGAAGGTGGTAAGACAGCGAAACAGATTGCCCARAGAAACTGTGGATGCCRCATCCCTGGAAGYRTTCCAGARTRGCTGGGATGGGGTGGTGAGCAACTTGGTCTAGTGGAAGAGGTGCCTGAGAAATTCTGTTGAAAAGGTATGTATATTAAGAGTTTACAAGCACATTTTCCCTTTCCTGTGGTAGGATGTGAAGTAAATTTAACATGATTTTCACACTCTTCACATTTCTTTCTTTGGCATTTGAAGGGAGAAMGAAATATTAGGCTTGTGATGAAGTTTGCCTCACCAGAACTTGACGGGGGGGAACACCTCCCARTAAGATTGAAGTGGGCAAGGAAACAACCAGTTCCTCGTGTAAGTGAGTTTGGGCATTTTGTGTTTTTAACAGTGTCACATGATGCCTACAAAGGAGCTTTGTCCATGTGGACCTCTTCACATTTTATGGCTTTCTGTGTCATTTATCCTTTTTCCTGGTCACTACACACACATATAAAACAGGGAAAYCCCCTTTTACTATTTGCTGGGGATGACACAGGCATCAGAATTCAATGCTGTTTTGTACTGATGCATTTATTGAGAGTGCTCTTATCATAGCACTACAATTACTGTTGTATTAAGTTAACTAATTACTGTTGTAATAACTTAATTGCATTAAGTTTCTATAAACATCTGGAGTAGAAGCAGGTTCCAACATCAATTTTTGCAATTATGAACCAAAAAAAAATCAATGTTTCTATTTGGTTTTGCACTGATTAGACCAAGGCTGTAAACRAAGTTTGTAATGGCTCAGACAAGAGTACCACAGGGCATCTTCCTGGAAGAGCTGATTCAGTTCCCAGTAAAGCTAGCTAAGCCTCTCAATTCCCTGGAATAAATCAACAAACTTCAGCACAATGTGAGCAAGTGCCACAAGCCCCTGAGCAAGGCTGAATAGATCCTGTTGTTCCATTTGACTTTACTGCATCGTTTGGCAGCTGAGTTAATGAGTAAGCCACCTTCTATTTAAATTCAAGAGTAATGGGAATACAGAACTATCAGCTCACAAGGAATAATATTGGAGGGGCCAGAGAAAACATGTCAGAAGGCAACTTTGGAAGGAGWTCCTGACAAACTCCAGAAGAGCAGCAGTTTTTTCTGTCTTCCCTGGCTTMTAAGGTGGATGCACTTGGAGACAGTGAAGGCAGAGGTCTGGGTCTAGAGTTTGTGTCCACGTCAGTCTATCAAACATGATCCAAAAGGTTGGGTTTAGCGTTAAACATCTTTGAKGAAGAACAGAGCTGATGCTTTGGGCTGAACTCTATCTCTGCTTTGAATGACTGTGTAAAAATAAAACATTAACAGGATAGTAGCTAGCAGACACAAGTTGTGCTGTGGGAAACACTGAGAAGCAGTCACATATTTGGAAAATAAATTATTTTCTTATTAAAAACACACAAACAAAACACAAAAAAAAAGGAGTGTGGACATCTTTATTACACATTTACAAGACAAAAGACACAAGCAAATCCTACAGCATTTTTATTATTCTCAGAGACAAGCAGCATTGCTTTAGCACAAACACCACTCAGCTGTGTGAAGAATGAGTGAAGAAAACTAAAGCAGAGCACAGCCACTTCTGGTCATAGCATTGCTGACACCAACAGTGCTGAGGAGCAGAAGCAGACACCTTGTCAACAGCAGCAACAAGAACAAGGGCACAGATASATCCATACAAAAAGGGCAGCTGTGAAAGTGGGTGCACAGTCAAGAGCTTTCATGAACATTTACTGAAGACCTATGAATAAAAAAAAATAAGATTTGTCCATAACAGAAATCAGATTCAATGATTCATGGGATGAATACAGAATATATTTATGTTACATGTTTTTCTTCATCTACTCTGTAATTTGGGGCCAATAAGGGACCTGAATTATTGAAGTAGAGTGAGAAGAAACTGTTACTCAGTTTCCTTCCCTCTCATTGCAAGGACTCAGGTACTTCAGCGCAGAGCTGAAAGTGATCATGCGCTGAAAATGCGCTTCCAAAGTGATGCTACACTYAAACCCACCTATCCAACGAAAACAWCTCCTGTCACCTTCCTGCTGGRTGCTATTCTGCTGTTAAAATTCAYCCACATCCCTTCTAGTCTAGGCTTTGATGCCTTTGATCCTGTAGAAAGTCATGAGCAGTTGAGAATAAGGCAGGACATGGATCTGTGAACATTCTGTGATCACAGTACACTTGATTTTGCTCTTTCCATCATGCTCTTATAGAAAATTAATCCCTTTTAAAGGCCCTGACATTTCTTCTCAAAGTCCTTAAGAAAATAGAGTGGGTTTAGATTTGATATTAGGAAGAAATTCTTTTCTCAGAGAGTGGTGAGACACTGGAAGACGTTGCTCAGAGCAACTGTGGATGACCCATCCCTGGTAGTGTTCAAGGCCAGGTTGGATGGGGCTCTGAGCAACCTGTTCTAGTGGAAGGTGTCCTTGCCCATGGCAGGGAACTGGGAACTGGATGATCTTTATGGACCCTTCCAACCCAAACTATTCTATGATTCTATGATTCTATGATTCTATGATTCTATGATTCTATGATTCTATGATTCTATGATTCTATGATTCTTGGTTCAGCATATCTTAAGGGACAAAAAACAAAACCACTGACCACAGCTTCTTCTTGTGCCCTCACACACAAAAAATCTTTTTTTTTTTTGCCATAGGAATCTGATTCAGAGGTGTTGACAACAGTGCTTAGGGATCTGGCTATCCCTATTAAAAAAAAGAAAATTCCCCTATGAGCTAAGGAACATCCCAGTCCCCATGATTTATTACCTTGGATTTTCCTTCTCTTTGAAGTACTACTAGGGCCACGAATTTAAAAACAAAACCAAGGGAAAGCCTTTAAAATGCTGCTCACATCTCTGTGTGGCACAGAGTGATCACAGTGGAGTCAGACAAGATAAAGAGAGATTTTGAGACTGTGTGTCACACCACTTGACATATAGTCAAAAAAAAGGCACTACACTGTGGTAAGGAAGGCAAGCAAACTGGCAAACCAGCAGCTGAAACTCTTATTTTTAAAGTTTGCCTATTTTCTGCCATGGTTTTACACTACAAACAGTAATTTGATTTGCCACAGTGGATAAATATCCTAGAAACAGAACATTCTTATCACAGGGCTGATACAGTCACGCTCTGCATATTTCATCTCTCTCTGGTACCATTTGAGTAATGTCCCCCTCTGTCCCCAACTGAATTTCCCCCAAGGACTCAGCCACAAGAATTTTGTCACTGGCTTGAACATGTAGGGAAGAAGCAGGCTGGGTTTGCTCGTTATTAACTGAAACTTTCTTACTATCTAAAACCAATAATAAATTCATCATCATATTTCAAACTGAGTGCAAAGTGTAAAGAATCAAAATGAAAAATCCTACCCTTGGCTTGTGCTCTGAGTTGCAGTGTCACTGTGACTCTTGTGTTGTACATTGTGTTYAATGCTATACACGTGAAATTTGACTGCAGATCCTCCTTTTTTATTTCAGTTATATTCAAAGTGGTCTCTTCATAGTACACGTGCTCATGTCCTTCGAAACTGCTAGAAAGAGAGAGAGCTGGTACCACTGGTTTTAATGGTTAGGCATAGTTTGCATGGAAAAAAAGATTATTCTTTGTTATGTGCACTTACAAATGAGTTTCTTCACGAAATCTTGAACAAGCAAGGCTTTTCACTGGGATGTTATCCACATCCCATCTGACAGCAGCCAGTGGCTGTTTCTTAATCCCCAGGCGGGCCTGACATTTCAGAGACAAAGCAGCACCTAATCAAGATACAAAGAAATGTAAACATTCCTTCATGAGAAACATGATTTTATTTTCCTCATAACATCTTTTTCTATGAATCTTCATACAACTTGTGAGTTTTGTCATAATAATTTTGACGTTTTTCTGAACTACTGCTGACAAAATGATACATAGACAMGACAAAAACAAATAGTAACATGAATATTTTAACAAATGATCTAATAACACACCAAGGATTACAAAAGGATTTATTTATACTTATTGGGAYAAAGACAATGTACCCTTTACTTGTGATGCCTTACATTTCTAATCAGCTATTGAGGGGCATGGAAAGGATATGCTGGTTGACACACAAATGTACATAGAAATAACCTAATTAAATTTCAGTATATATCATTTTACATATATTTTGTGTGCAGCCTTATCTTGGATTTTATTCAAGCTGGACAAAAGTAAAGTAAACCAGTCCAAGAAAAACTAAAACAGGAAATTACTTATTTCATATTTCCCATTAGGAAATATTTATTCCAAAGTAAGTGTCATCATCGCACTGAAAAAAAAGTATAATTAAAACATGGTAAATTGTTTCCAATCTGTCAATCTTCATCTAAGCAGGTCTTACATAAGATTATCAAATCTTATGGTTAGATCATGAATTAGTGTTAGGGAGCATGGAGAAATCCCTTCATTTTTGCAAACAGGAGACAATAGAATGAATACAGCAAGTGGGTTTTAAATGTGAATTAGCTCCATGTAAGCAGTGCTGGATTACTTATTGTCCCAGAGCAATAGGCAGAGTCTATGGAGCACTAGACACTGCCCATCTTACTAGAGAAAGCTTGTCCTGGAGCAGAAACCATCTAATTTCTGAGTGATGGAACAACGGAGGGAAAGAGGTAAAAAAGGACGGGAATGCCAGTCAACACGGCAAGACTCTGTGCCCCAGCACACAGCACAGAGAGGGCTGTGACCCCTGCAGTACCTGCCACCAGAGCAGTGCTGCTGTAGGACAGAGATTGGAGTGGCAATTACAATCCCTTCTCCCACTTGCCTGCTTCACCCCACTCTCCCTGGGAARCAGGCATCCTGGATTACCTGTTCAGGTTTCAGCTGGCTTCTGTTTCTTGCTGGAGAGTTTTGCCTTTATCTACCGACTACAGAAAAGCCCCAGATAACTCTCACTCCTACCAGCAACACCTTGTCCTGATGGTGCAGGCTACCCAGGATGAATCTGAATCCCTGAGAACATCCACAACCCTAAACAGAAGCAGCCAGGAGCAAGCTCTGCATCCTGGGCTGTCCAGCCAGCTACGTCTGAGTTCACTGCTYGGCCCTGTCCTTCAGCCTCCCAGAACCTTCCCAGCAGACTGCTCTGATCACTGCTGGCCAAAATGTGTATCAGATGGACAGTGCTCCTCAGCTTCAGGGCCAGCAACCAGTTCCTTGCTTCTCTTCATTCCTTAACAGAGACGTAGGCACTRTCTCCACATGGGAACTGAAAGTAGCAAGGAGTAGCCACAGGAATAGTCCATCTTTGCCTCTTAGAGGTGCCATCAAGCAATTTCAAGAGTTTTAGCTAAAGCCCTCTTTGAGGTGGCTGGAAGCTGTCRCCTCTCAGCTGAGATGTAATGATTCACTCTGTAAATAATCCTAGTCACTCCCAGTGAGAGTAGAACAGGTTATTTAAATCTCCTTGAACCTCTTAATACCTAAATAACCCATCAGATATATCTAACTTCACACTGCTGTGCCTGGAGTGAATTAAATCTGGTAAACATTACGGTGCAAGACTGTGATGAAGAACTCATTACATTTTCTTGAATATACYGGTGTTTGCTAGACCACCACAAAATGTTAATTTAAAAACAATTTAAAATCTCTACTCACCAAGCTCCGCTTCTATTACCTCTTTATTCTTTGGAAATATGATTTGAGGTGGTAGAGGTGAGTATTTTACTTCAGAAATKAAAGAAGAAAAGAAAGCACATATTAGAAAGTTGTGCAAATGCATTTTATAAGATAAGGTTTGTAATCTRTACAGTTAGTATTTCATTATCACAAAACGAAATTGCAAGCTAACGTCTCTCATACCTATTGGGATCACCTAGTTCTATTCCTACAATAAAATGTCCCTGGGGAGTATGTATATTTTAAAAGTTTTTTCTTCCCTTGTATTTAATTTTTACCTTTCTACATAGAGAACCAGGGACAAAAATAATTTCTGAAGTACTGTTTTAGCTGCTGAGTGGGGGAAAAAGCAAATGCAGTTATAGGCTTGTGTTTTCTCAGCTGTTTGGGGTTTTTTAAAGAGGCATTTGAGAAATTACTCATATCCGTAATATGAAATAGCTAATATTTCATATAGAATATTTCAGGTTTTATGCTGTTTCTGAACTCCAAACACATTGTTTGCTACCCTTTTTCTTATTAAACTTTTCCATCTCAAGTCACCTCTGTGAAACCTGTATTTTCCTAGAAAATCTGCAGGAATACATTTCAGTTCCTGCTTCCCAGACTGGCTGGATATGATGGAAGTCAGGAGAGAGTCAGTACCTTCCCAGCAGAATGGCTATGCTACRTCTTAGCTGCCAGCATTCAGAGGCAGAAAGTCCTCTGGGTCTTGGATACYGTGGATGTGCAAGGCAACAGGAATGTATGTCACAATTCTCCATTATTAATAAAACATAACAGCTCCACTCATCAGCATACTGATTTTAAGGTCTGATAAAAACTCAAGAAGTTGTCATTAAGTACTTTGAATTTAGCAAAACCTGGAGCAGGCATGCCAAACCCAGCCCAGATTTCACAAGTTATGTTGCAATCTCTTCTTTCTGCAAGGATTTCAGAAGAAAGTCAGATTAACTTCAAARTCTGCCTGGATGTAACAAAGGCTTTTGTAAACTGGAATGCCTTTGGGCCAGATAAAATTCAGAAATTTTCTTTATAACCCAGGCAGAACAATATGCGAGACCAGCTAGAGAAGTTTTGATGGAAGAACATTCAAACAAAAATTGTTAGGCAGAGAAATATCATATAGAGCATTATTACTATCATGTAGAGCAACAGGTTGAAAAGGAGGAAAAGTACAACGTTTCCAAGACAGACTGAACTAGGTCTCTGCTCAACTCTGCCTTCTGTCCAGCTCAGAATTATCAGAACAAGCTCTGCTGCTGAGGTCTGGACACAGCAGCAGAAACTGTAGTCAAGGCTCCAAAACTGTGTTCTGCCCACAATCTGTGTGCCTTCCCAGAGCTAAAGGGCCTGATGTCAGTCTGCAAATGAACATTGCTTTTCTTTAAAAAAGAACAGACAAACAAMACAAGCACACAAGCCTAACTCAAATACTCCACCACCCTCCCAAGACATAGTCTTTCTGACGATTCTACTGATCTGRTTGCAGAAGTGAAGATGCATTTTGAAGTTTTGCAAGTTGATGCAATCTGAAACTGTCGATTGCTGCATGTCCTTCCCTTGACCACCAGACAAATACAAAGCCTCCCTGAGGAGACTGCATCCTACAGGCACCCCAAAGTCCACACATCTCAGTCATACTGACAATGTTCAAAATGACAGACACAGCAATCACTGAGCTCCACTCTTTTCCTGTTTCTGGATATATCTTGTTCATTTTGTCTCACTCAAGACAGATCCAAAAGTCTTTTTCAGTCCTACTATCAAATAAATAGTTGAGATGGACCAAGCAGAATTAAGTTTTAGGCCATCAACACAAGATTGATCTAATGATCCCCAGACAGTCTTTTAGCTATAAATCCTGCTGCTCTCAAATGGAAAGCAGAGGATTGTGGCATCCCACTGAGGAGATCCTTCATCCYAGAAATAAGTGCTACCAGTGAACTCTACTAACCACAGTACCTATTCAGAGTCATCATAAAATCTTTAACAAAAAAAATAAATATGACCAGGTCTGACTTTACCCCATCTTGTTCTGTTTGGATGGCACAAAACTCATCAAATAAAGCTGATCTAAATCTTAATTAAGATGATAAAACCAACCAACCAAAACTGTTTTTCCCTTTAATGTACAAAAGGAGTTTCCATTGCTCTAAATTGACAATAGATTTTTTATCTTAGCAAGCTATGGAATTACTGCCTTACCCTCACTTATGAAAATTCTTGTTGCTGATACATTAAACACATTTCCTTTATGGGTATAAATAAATTGACAAGTGTAGTAACCATCATCCTCCTTTCTTGGGTTCTCAATATAAATATATTTTTCTTTCTTGAAGAACCTCTGTCCCTGAAGGGGTTTGCAGTCCTGGAAAAGAAAAAATTATTTGGCTGCAAATAGCTTYTCACAGTGCTCTGACCTACGCTGGCACTATCAGGGTTTTATTTACCTTATACCACTGGACAATAGTAGCATTCTTATAGTTATCAATGGTAGGACAAACAATTTTTCCTCTTCCAGTGTCATTTGGGTAACGAATCCGATTTGGGAAACATTCTCCTGGCTTGTATGAATGCACTTGCACACTCACGTTGTATGACTTYGTGCGATTATTTGAACTTTAAAAATGGAATAAAGGTATGTCAGTGATTGCATTTTTATATAAATATATTAATATTTATAAAAAATGTGAGTCATTCTATAAACATGTGGATTACTGTATTTCAGTCATAGATTGATTTTAGTAATCTGTCATAAATGTAGAAGTTGCAGGRTGAAAACTAATAAAAACATGAAAAAAGGCATCATTTACAAATAATAATAATTAGAATATATTGTTAAAAGATTTATTCTTGCCAGTCTTACATCTTCCACTTTCCATGTGGCACTTACAAATGTGTTACACAAGTGTAGTTTCCAGAATCCTCTCTGGAAGTTGGCAGGAACCAAAGAAATCGTTCTGTGGAAAATACCCGTGATCCCTCCTCTTCTGCAGGAATTATTTTGTTCGTATCCATGCGATACCAGGTGACTTTCACTGATGAACTCCATTTGGGACATTTTACAACTAAAGCCTCACCTTCCATAGGATCAACTGAAAATGAACAAAAGATGAAGATCTCAGATAATTTAAACCTTTGTGCATTACACTTGGCATTCCTGGATCAGAAGGCCAGTTGTGTCCCTCTAACTTCCTTGAACTTTCAAAGATGATGCACAGCAAACTTATTTTCACTAGATTGTTTTTCAATAAACATTTTTATTATCTTGAGTTATGGAGCTATTTCTTTCCAAAACCAGTAATTAATGGAGGGAGCGAGGGGCAGAAAAACCCAAATAAGCAAACAAACAAATCCCTTGATTCTAAGAAGGCRCACAAAAAATAAGAGGATCTAATTGAAAAAATAGTGATTTGTTAAAATGAGGTTCTTTGCCTAAAATACTGTTTTTATTCAAAAGACAAAACACAAAGAAAAATATTGGCTTTAATGCAGTTATCTTTCCTCACCTCAGTATGAATGAATAAATGAATATTTATTTATACAATAGATAAGTGATTTTGCTCTGCCTTTTAATACAAAAAAAAGGAAATGGATTGTTTTGTCATGGAAGAAAAAAATCATAGAAGGAGGAAGTCTATAGATTAGATCCATAGGAAAAAAATACTAAAATATAAACACAACAGAACATCTTCTCTCTGAACTTCATGGAAATGGGGGGTGAAAAACATGAAAGCAATCTAACAGTCTGAAAGGAAGGATCTGATGAGAAGGTGGAAGCCGGTAAGAAGCCAGAAATAATTAAGAGACAAATAAGAAGCTTAGGAAAAGAAACACATACTCACACATAAGAAAAGTTGGGAGCAAGACACTGAATTTTAAATCTTTTTTTTTAACTGAGTATTCTTCTAATTTTGAATACTGAAACTGGTCCAGAGAAAATTGAATCAAAACAATTTTGACAAATAYTTAAGTGCTCAGGTACCTGAATAGTGAACTTCCTACTGAAAACAGAAAAACTACTCTGAAAGTTAAAATTAATTTTGAGATGAGAAAGATGAGAGTATGAGCAAAGGTGGTGGCAGGACAAAGATGGAGATTGGCAGAGGAACTGCAGTAGGTGAGGGAGCATGAAAATTAGAGCAGATAACCAAACAGCTAACCCAAATAGAGAGTGCCTATCAAAAGTGACACTTTGCAGTAGTGTTGAGCCAGTGGCTTTAGTCACGTAGGTGCACAAATCAAGAGGTGAATCCTTCTACATGAACAACACTTGTGGTCTGGCTCTTTCTAAAGAAGTGAGATTATAATTTTACTTACTAATTTGGGCACCTAAATTAGCCACATGAGGTATGAGTAACTCCAACCCCATCATTTTAACAGCTTTCCCTCCCACAAGCCTTGCACAGACAGAGGGACATATCTGGGTGACAGAAAAGGCAGCATTGCCCCATCAAAGGAAAGGAACACAYTGGAAATACAGCTTTTTTGGAGGGTAATAGTGAAGAGAGGGAAGATATAGAAAAAGAAGTGTCTTCTAAACTCAATGACATCAGTGARAATCACCTTGGAAAATATTCAACAGAATTTGGCATCTTAATAAATCTAATTTTCTTGAATCTTAGCAGTCCTATTGACAATATGAAGAAGTATTTAGAGATCAAATCTTACAGAATTTTTCAAAGACACATCCCAGCCAGAGAAGAGAAGTACATGAGCTGTGCAACACTGTGCCCTGGTCAGCATTATGGAGCTGGCCCTTCAAGAAAGAGTTCGCTGTTCTGAATGTCCCCCGTGTGCAGGGAAAAATCATTGTTACATTGCATTTTTCRGTTAACATCCCCCCAAATCCAAGAGATCAAAGACCATTTTTATTGAGATCAGCACCCCTTTACACCCCTGATTCAGCAGGGTGCATACACACATGTGCTGCTCAGTGAAACTGCAGCATGCTCTTGGAGATTGCACCCAGCTGGGACCTGGAGCATCAGCCACTCTCAAATTCTCTCAAAAAGACCCTTTTCTTTCTGCTTGCAGAGGTGCCAAGCGGCAGGAGTAGAACCCAGACTTGATGTCATAGCAATGGACAGTACTTGGTGCATTTTAGCACACCGAGAAAACAGATTAMAAGTTAGTTTTTAAGTTGTGATTTCTGGCTTGAGCTGAAATCACAAATTTTAGGCTTAAAAATAAGACCACAAATTTGGAAACAGCCCACACATTTCTACAGAACAAACCTTATCAGAAATTATTTTTAAAATGAGACTTACATGTTTCAGATGTCATGGAAACCGAGAGCAAGGCAGATAAGAGGATCAAATCTATGCACCCCATCATATTTCTAAACTAAGAAGAAAAACGTATCTTAGAATATATTCTGAGTGCACCAGTACTGCTGATGTACATCAGAAAAATGAACAAGAAATGGTATCATGCAGTGATAAATTGCATCCTGTGCAGTTTTGCAGCTTTGAGGTGATGATATTTGTTCTCTCATCTTTGAAACTACGGTTATTACTTACTTTAGTGAGAGCCAGGCTATTACTCTGCTGTGGTTCTCCTCAGGCAGGAACTTGTTTTAGCTTGGTTCCTTTTTTTTTTTTTTCTTTAAGGAAGATAAACATATTCTCTTCATAGTCAAGTGCAGAAAAACTATACCTAAACTCAGCAAAGAACAGATCCTGGGTTTGAAAACATACACCCTGGTTTTGAATTAAGGTTACATCCAATTGCTTAGCTGCACAATACTTTTCTGTCTTTTTATGAAAGGAGAGTTACCTTCAGTGACAGCTTCTCTAGGCAGATGTTTAGCAGTGTGATCAAAACCTGGTTGTCACAGCAGTGCTAAGCTGAAGGAAAACAAAAAAATGGACTGGAAATGTTGGCAAAGGAGTATAAATTGTACTCTTAAGTACAGAAGTAAGGCAGATCCTGTATGCCACTGATGTTTTCATTTGTGTCTAACTGATATGCACTTGCTGTAATTCACAGCTCGTGCTGTGGCTCTCCAGCAAACCCTTTGGTTTAAAAAAACTGACCATTTGGTCATGGGTATTAAATTGACCTAATCCAGGAATATCTCAGGAGACAGCAGGCATGCAATCCAGCTATACTACACAGCTGAAAGTATTCTACTTACCATCAAAAAGCCTTGAATGCAGTTTTTCACCACAAATCACAGAGCAGTGGGTTCTGTTATCGTGTATGAGTAAGCAGCAGACACACRGTACTGCAGACACCAGACAAGTTTTGAAGAGAAATCAAGTCAGAAAGGAATTATAATTTATCTTGAAGATAATGAGCACAAGAGGAGTAGTGGAAAACAGGCAAGAAATGTAAGTACTGTCGTCACACTTACTGCAAGGAATTTTTATTTCAGTGCCAAAAACTTCCAGACTAAATAAACATTGAGAAGCTTTATCAAGACCTGTGTTTTTTGCCAAGTCTGAAATTCAGTGCAAACTCAGATTTGAGCTTTCAGAAATATCATCAGCTTTTTCTTGATATGGAAAGTTTCTTATTTTAGAAGGTTTAATAATATCCAGAGCGTTACTCTTACACTCTGAAAAAAACAATAAAACTTAGTGGCAGAAGAGCAAAGCGTGAGAATTTTGTTGTAGGGATCATGCAGGAATATTCACAAATCACAGGAAAGATGAGGTTTAAACCAATAAAAGCAGCTTTTCAGCATTAATGTCACAGCAYAGTTGATGCCACGCCTTTTCCAGGAAGTGAGTGACCAGTCAGGAGTTCCAAGAAACATTATATGTGAGGAGCTACTCGCTTTCATTATTGCTGGAGAAAAGCRCCACTCACAAGCTCAAGTCTATTGACTTCTTTAACCTTATGGAAACCTTAGGCCAGGGGAACAGGTTTCTAGGTACTTTTCAACACAAACATCAAGAGTTTTGCCCTGGAAGGAATGAACCAGGTAGTCCAGAAAAGGATTCATTAGTGCCCAGGGACTAGACAGACCCTTAGGAGAGAAAGATCAGCCTCAAAACAGCACACAATGAAATTCACAGCATCAGCATAGCAGTTCATAACTTAGAACATAAAGTTTGTTCCTAGAAGTTATTTCTAACACTAAGAGGGAGCAAAATTAACCAAAATATTTCTTCTCTACTGGGAACCTTTTCCCACCAAGTGTTTGGTTTTCTTCCAGCAACTCATTTGCCCCCAACAAGGTATGCCAGCAGTTACATTAACTGCCCTACTATTTTTGGAGCTATTTTGTTTGAGTGATACTTCAGCAAGATGACAARAAGTAAACCGATTGTTTTTTAAATGAAGATCAGTTTCACAGACTACGTTTGGAGTCTGTCTGAAATGAGGATTTTTTCCTCTTTTTATATTTTATTTGTATGTGTTTATTATTAATTTAGCCACAAGCAATAYAATACCACTGCCTGAGATACTGGCAAGTCCCTTATTGCCAGTGCCATTGCAGCCCTAGAAATGGAAGGCTGYTGGTTACCAGGAAGTTGCAAGGAGGTGTGCTTTCATCTTTTTTGAGATACACCTTTGTCTAGGAGGGGAGACAAACAATTACTTGCTCTCACCAACTTTTCTAAAAAGCACCAGAATGATTCAGAAATAAGAAATTCATCATTTCCCATCTCTCTTCTTGCCACTTGTTGCAGTTAGCCTTCTGTTTACTAAAAAAATATCCTTTGAGAGGCCTTACACATTCTGGGCTACCGGCCCGTGCCAAAAGAATGCAAAATATTTGAGCTGAGATGCTCCCCACCAAACCTGATGACTGCTTTATTGATTTTCCCACAATTTTTAAGTTGCTGTGCGCTGGTAGAAATTAAAGTAGTGTTTGGGGTTTGCGTGGGAGAATATATACAATATAGAGAGCTCTAATTAAAGAGGAATGCTCTCTGAAATCCAAAAAGTTTATTCAATTGAAAGAACAATGTCATTCTGTTTGCATTTTCYAAAATTGTCAGCAAATGCCAAATTACCTCAATATGAACAGAAGCAGAGGTTGCAGTTCTAGGCAGAAAATTGCAAGAGAAGGAAGGAGGGTTCTACAGCATCTTACAGCTTCTGCCTACAGCTTAGGATGACTGCATGGTACAAGGGTAAACTGTGAGCCCTGTGAAGAAGTTGTCTCTGTGAACAAAAACTCCAATATGGTGCTGAAAAAGCACTAGATCTAAAATTTGGGATAACTACCTGAGTATGTCAAAATCTGGTCCCTAATGATCCAATACCAAAGGAAGGTGAGGGAAGGGGGAACCCACTCTGTCAATGCAGAGGCAGCAATCTACAGGGCTGAACTCATTGGTTTTCTGAAGGCAGTGGAGTTAGTTAAGTATTTCTGATTTTCTTTGCAAAATTGTATTTGCCAACAACATCTTTATAACACTATTTATAGTAGTGCAAACATTACCTTGCATACTAACTTGCATGCAATTTCTACCTAAAACACTTAGCAGATTTTTCAATGCAATCACACCACGAAAGAGCAGTGGTGTGGGATGTTTTTACTAATATATAGAGCCCATACACCTTTTGAAAGTGATTTTCATTCTTCTATCAAACCAGAAAATCCATTCTGACTGAAAACATCCTATTAAAATTGCAACAGTAAAACTGAACTGATGCCAGCACYAGCATTCTCAAGAGTTAACAATTACACTAATTACAGATGCAGGTATAGAATTAAGGAATYTCAGTATTAAAGCATGGATATTCTAAAATTGATATACACAATGTTCTTAAAAAGTATTCTGAAGCAAAAAAAACCACATAAATATGCTAAACTCTGAAAAATCAATTGCACAATATAGATTTTCCAAGTCCTTGACTAATTAATAAAGMTATATTCTAGGAAATGGATGGCAAAATCCATTTCTAAATACACTTCATTATAAGGTAAATTTTTATTTTAGTCTCAACACTATTTATCCATCATAGCAAGTATTTCAATCTAATATTATTTCTTGAGACAAAGAAGCACATAAGTGAACTGAAACAAACTTCCTTCTTTTTTTTTTTTGGTTAAATGATAATAAAACATTTTGACCTACCATCTGGAAAATTCAGAAAGCAGAGAGGTRACTTATTCTCTGTGGATGAGTCTTTTGCAATAATTTTTCTGTTTAGCTCRTACCAGGTATTACTGTGAGCTCTTTTTATCCAGCTTGGGCAGCTCATATCTGTTGGAGCAAGGCACGGCTTCATTCTGAGACACCTCCCACTGAACAGAGCAGAGCATGCAAATTGCTGTAGCAATTTACTTTAAGTACACATCAGAGATAGCATGTCAGAGTTCCAGTTAATCAGATATCTTTTACCACTAGCATATGTTTTCCTTTAATTGCAAATTATTCCTTTTTGGCACAATTATAGTGCAGTAAATTTTCTGGCTGGGGAGGACAAAGAGAGGAAACTTGGATGGAAGAGGGCACTTTGAAACAGATTTTGCTTGAAAACACTTAACAGCTTTGCCCCGTCTAGTTCAAGCAGCAGCTCCCTGAGAACAGCTTGAAAAGTCTCTGGAGAATCAGCAGCAATTTTTAGCAAAGGAAACTACTTCACTGAAGTTAAGCTGATCAGAGAAGGTGCTGAAAAAACAGTTATATGCACCAACAGCTAAATTAAATCTCTGAGGGAAAGAAGATTTTTATCCTGTGGTCATTCAAACTTTWTTTTCCCTGGCAGAGTTGTGAATACCATTTGTCCCTTCCAGTGCTCCTGGGACTCTACTGTCAGCATACAACAACTCCACATCAATACACAAAGAAGTAGAAATGATATGCCAGTGTACAAAAATCTTACCTACGTCACACCCATGGGCTCCCCAGTCTTTRGCACTGCACTTCTTTTGAAGTAGTCTGGGGCTTGCACTTCCCACGTGACACAGAAAATGCAAAAAAGGTTAAAAAAAAGTTTAAGGAAACCACTTGCAACAATAAAATCTCACAATGTTTTAGTCAACCAGTCAGACTATTGCTCTGAAAAGGTCACAAACTACTCCCTGCTCAGGTTTGTGAGGTTTCATTGTTGCCTTGAAAGGCCAGTTTTTAATRAYGACACAGASACGGTTAAGGGGATTAAAGGGTTTTAYCTCGGTATTTGGGATCCCAGGTGCACAATTTGATGGCAGAATGCACWCCYGTGTACAGCACGGGTACAAGTTTTATAGGTTTCAGGAATTAGCATATCTATCTAGGATTCCTCAATAAGAAACTTAACAAATGCAGTAATGTCTCTTTATTTTAATGAATCCTTCTTCTAGATGAGGCTAGAGCCYAGTTTAYACAAGATGTTYTRSASAGAAGGCTTCACCCAAGGCTGGAGYYTYGGGTTTAAGATAGCACAGGGCACACTGACTCTTTCTTTAGGATGTTTGATCTCTCTGCCCAGCAGAACTCTTTAACTAAGMTGGAATATCAGGCTTTAGGAATTACAAGCATRTGGATTAGGGGGTACAGTACTCTCTGATGTGAGAGACTCAAGCAAAAATTCTTGAGTAACCATCCACATTCAGTGGTAGGTCTTGAAGCAAAGAGATCAAGAAGTAATGGGTTTGAGCTGAAGAAGGGATAGTTAAGCAASACAGCAGGAAAAATTTTTTAACAGGAAAGGTAGTGAAGTACTGGAAGTTTGCTGGTAACCTAGTGGAGCTGCCACTTGSTGTTAAAGAAAATTTAGTATTGGTATCAAGATGAATGTAGCTGTCCCCACAGGTCCCTACCAGCCCTAGGAGTCAATGACCCAGAGATTCAGCTGACAGTGATTCAATGACTGCTTTTGGTGCAGCATGAGTGTATGAACTTGTGTTGGCAAAATTACTCCTAGGCTGAAAAGTAAGCAAGTTAAAGCCACACAAGATACAAAAAAAAAGTGAAAACCCAGATTAAATGAAGTTGTTGACATGTTAAGAGCTAGGAGTTCAAGCATGCAAGAAGAAAAATGATGACATTGACAAAGATAAAGACCTGAGGTAAAAAGCAGAGATAGGGAAACAGAAACTCAGCAACATCAGAGTTCACATKGCTCCAAGAAGAAGTGCTTAGCCTAGCAGCCCATGAGCCCTGCTTGCCTAATACCTAACTCTATTAACCAGGAAATATCTGCTGGGTACAATTTTTGCACCCTGCTTGCACACTGTCAGTGGACCCTGCAGGGAAACATTCAGACACAAATKATCCTGCCAGGAAAGGTCTCATTATCCACATTTACTGAGGTTACCCCAGGGAGCTCTGGTGGAATTAGCAAACSGTGGGATAACTGGGGAAGCTGTTGYTGGGYRTGTCCACACCTGTGTCAGGTCTAATGTTTTTTAGCTGCTGTGGATCCACCCTGTTGAGGTTGCAGTGCTCTTCCTGTTTCTCTGTGTTG